ATGGGTGGCCTCGGTGGATATTGAAGGCAAATTCATGCCTGCCAGTTGAGTCGCAATCAAACTCCGGCAAAGTGGTGCGCCCACAACAATGGTGAGCAGTTGCACGGCCCCCCCCCGCCCCTCCCGCCCACACATGACACATGACACGGTCCAATTACTCCGAGATACTCCGGCGGGTTTGATGGCTGTCTCAAAAAGCTGCGAGACCGAAGGCTCGAAAGATCCGCGTCTCTTGGTCGTTTTTTGGTTTGGTTTCTCGGGGCATCGAAAGCAAACCCCAGCCGTGGGATCCGCTCCGAACAGACACATTGATTGACTCAGTTGCTCAGTGACACTGGAAAAAAAAGGGAACCCTTTTTTGAGAAACCCATTTTTAGTGGGGCAGCCACCAAAAAAAAGGAAAAGAAAAAGGGTGCCACTCGACAACTGAGGTGACTGGGTTTCGCCGGTAAAGAGAGAGCGCCTCCCTTAACTGCCTGGGATCCACACGAATGCACCGAAAACCCGCCTCTCCCGTCCGATGCTGGACATCACCCGCTTTGCACATTGCCGAACCTGGCTCACGTGAAACCCCCAAAACCCACAGAGCGGTAAGTTCTTCAAGCGGCATGGAAATTGCAGCAGATGTCCGGGGAAGGGACATCTTTTTCTGATGGAATTTGAAGGAGTTTTCCGGGAACCCCACCCAACCGGCTGAGACCATAGACGACCTTTTGGAAGAATAGATGGGTGTCCCTCGTAATTGGGGCATAAAAAGAACCAGCGGACCAAACGCAAAAAGGACACCTATGAGCGGCGCGTGACATCTGCCCGAAGGCGCGTAGGGCTTTCGGCACCTGAAAGGCATCAAAGAGTTCACGGCTTTTTTGTACTTCGGTTGGTACACAACTTCTTGAAGGGAAATGGTTGGGGTGCGTCAGTGTTCAATCCAACGAGTCGCCGGAAAAAGATTGGCAACGGAAACTTGCTGATGGAAAGTGGTGCGCTTGGGGCTTGCTGGTTCTCAGTTCTTGGATGTTAGACCAAGTTCGGAAGTGGCTAGCCGCTTAGGATTTTAAGCCCCGAATAATGTTGACCCAGGATTAATAAACCCGTCCCACTATTAGGGGGGGTTCCCTCCAAAAAATGATGAATCCCCACTAAAAGGGGACACCCCCCTATTAATCAACCAGTGGTTTATTCATCCGGGGTTAACATTAACAAGGTTCACCTGGACTTATGAGTGGGATATGGGTATGGGTCAAAATAAAACCACCAGGGGACCACAGGTTTTAGTCATTGTTTCCATTTACCAGGGTGCCATTTTGGGTACCTATTTTTGACCCACAGCCATATAACGCAGGCTGCCAACAACTTGGCCGAACATCCAACTAGAGGTTTTGGCAAAGCCAGAGACTCGGAGGCCACAAGGGGATGGATCCCTTCGGGGTCACTTCCTATGGCAAGTTGCTGTAACTCAGCTTCCCCTTTGGTGTGGCCCGCGCCGGTGGGTTTTGTGGTGTTTCCGGGGTGCTTCCATCTACAAAAGCGCCAGGGGGTTGAAAGCCCGCCCATCCAGAAACCAAACCAGCAACTTTGAGTACGGGCTCAAGGTGGCAAAAAAAAAACATGCTGCGAACCACTTGCGAACTCATCCATCAAGGGTTCTAAATCTCGAATTGGAGTTCAAATCACCGAGCCCCGGAAGCACCGGGTTCGGCAAATGCGCGCTTTTAAGTCTAGCAGCTTGCATTTAATTCATTTACTCTCTAGCGCCCCTCTCGGGCACGAGGCACAAGCCCCTTGAAACCAATGCAAAAAACACGGCTTCAGCCGAGCGATGCCTTAAACCACGGCAGGCGAGACGATGGCAGTGCAGGTTGTCGCACAGGATTCTGCTCCCTTTTGGTTCTAGGCATCAACCATCTGGAGTCTCCACGACCCTGAAAAAAATGGGGTCATTACCCCAAATTAAGGGGTCATGGACCCATTTTTTAAAGGTCGTGGAGACTCTGGGTACATGAACAAAAAATGGATTGCCAAGTAGAGGCTCTTCATCCTCCCATGAGCCCGCCAAAGACACAGGCAAAGGAAATATCAGCACAGGAGGGGTGCTGATAGAGCTTTGATTTTCTGGTTTCGTGAGTCGTGTCTACATCACATCAGTCAAATTGGTCAACTCCCATTGTGTCTGCACTGCACTGCGAAACTATGGCTGCGCTTTGCCTACGGCAAGCGCCTCACATACCTATCGAGTCCATGATCCTGCCACGCCGCTTATGTGTCCTACATGCGTATATACACAAATATGTATATGTACGTGTGCATGTATATATGTATATATATATATATATTTTAAACATGTACACATATTCAAACACATATACATATATATACATATATACACAGGTGTGTTTCAAGTGGGTTGAGGTTGGCGCCCTCGGTTCACTGGACTCTATCTGCTTCACGTGGTTCCCATTCAGCCCGGGCTTTTGGCCATTTGGCCCCCTTGAGGCCCTTCTTCGGCATGCGACGGGCGTTTGGAAGTCCAAAGATCAAGGGTCGGACGAGTCAAAGCCCTGGTCCAGCATCTCAGTTGCTCAGTGACCCTGGAAAAAAAGGGAACCCTTTTTTTGGGAAGACGGGGCAGCCACCAAAAAAAAAGGGGAAAAAGGGTGCCACTCGACAACTGAGGCACGCTCAACAACTTTGACTAGTGGATTCAGTAGCCGAAGTCTAGGTTGACGTTGGAAGGGGAGCAAAAATGAATAAATACTAGCAGTTAAGTGGTTGGATTTCAACCACTTAACCACAACAAGCAAAAATGTAAAATTGGTCCCAACAACAACCATGAAGTAGGCAATGCTGGTTTTACACTTACTTTTTTTTAAAGGGAAACTTATGTTCTCCCACAAACAAATTAAACAAAACCGGCTCTGGATCTTGAAGCGGCGCCCCTCCACAAAAAGTGAGATGTTTCCGCGCCCGTGGATTGGCCAACGATCCACATCCCAAGGGCTTCCGCTTTTTCCGCGTGGCAGGCGCCCTTTTTAACCTGGGCTGCCCGTGTTCGGATCCTCCGGGCTTTTGCTGTGACGAACTTGTGGGTGAAAAAAATGGCAACTACCACTCAACACTAGAAGGATCTAAAAAAGCTAAGTTGGACTGGATGGCTGGGAGCCAAGTTAACACAGCGGTTTCCACCAACATGATGTTGACCCCACATTAATCAACCCCTGTTTATTGATAGGGTGTGTTCCCTTCAAGCCAAAGTGATGATTCCCCACTGGACCCAGGGACACCCCCCCTATTCATAAGCAGGGGTTGAAACAAATGGGGTCAACATTATGGGTAAGTTCTCATTTCCCCAACTGAAAGCTATGGGGTTCATAAACTCCGGGCGGAAAAAAAGAAAGGGCGTTTTTCAGGTGGGTTCCAGTGATGTGGCATGATAAGTGGCACTGAGTGCGCGCAAATGTGCCTGATGCTGTTCGGGATATCACCCGAGCTTACTATACATATAATTATATATATATATATATATCTTAATTCGGCTTTACTAGAACCAAAGTTAAACCAGGTAGTAGAACCGCTTATAGAGCCTTGAATTTTGAATTAGGGACCCTTTAGTGGACATCGCTTAGGTGGGGATTTTTGTCTAACCACTTTTGAGAGTGTTCCAGATTAACACTTACACTGGGTACTCCATCTCCCGGTTACTTCTCCTTTTTTTTTGCCCCCCCCCCCCCGTTTTCCGGGATATTTCCAGGAGGCTTTCAACTAGGAGCTTCAAGTGTTTCAATAGCATGAATCAACAAACAGGAGTGGCTTGCAAAAGGCAGGAGTGATAATCAACAACTATGAGTGGTCCTTGAGGCTAACAAATATTGGACACAAGTCGCATTGTGTTGTTTCTTTTCGTTGTTGAGGCCCGCAATTATAGAACTCTGTACACTCCCACCAATTATGCAACTCTCTCTGCACTCGAGCGGGTATACCTCTGCTTGTACTGAAAATGCACTCTCCGCAAACTCCTGATTTGCGGGAGTTTGCGGGTTTTTCTGGGAGTGTGCGGGGGTTTGGCGCAGATTTTTTCAGGTGTGGTGTTTCCCGGTTTTGCCAATTGGTCACCCAAAGGCGCTGATTCTTAATAATTATGGATTCTGAAAACATATTCTGATTCATGTGAACGATTCTGATTCTGAATAAGCCTGAATTGGAGGGTTCCTTCCGTCAAGTAGCGAATGATTGCGATTTCTAGGAGTTTCAGGAGTGCAAGCTACTGTCCAGTAGTGACAATCATTTGTTATAAGTGTTCCCTCAAAAAGCAGGAGATTGACAACTCAGTGTTTTTGCACTGAGATCCTTTAAAAAGTGGTAGTCTCCGGATTTTACGGTATATTTCCATGTTCTGGAAGATCCAGGACCGTCGAACTAAGGGGAGAAACCCGAACATGCATTTCAGTTGTCTTTTTGGCTTTCCCTGTAAGCCAGTCTTAAAGAAAGGATACCAACAACACAAAGACACCTTCCCAACTCGGTCTTCCAAAAAGCGACTCAGTCCATCAGCTTAGTTTCTCAAAGATGAGGCGTCGAGATACCTGCAGACCCAAGACTGAAAACCAATGAAGTCATTTGGCTCTGAATTTTGGTAAGGAACCCACCTCACAAGTGGTGGGTATGAATGCACGCCTAAATGATGTCCACCAAAGGTTCCCCAATTCAAATCCGAACCCATTTCACGTCCATTGGCTCAGCAAAATTGGAAAACCAACGCGAGACAAGGCTGATTCCTGGGACAAAAGAATCCGACCCCCCTGCAAAAAGCATCCTTTTTGCTAGAAAGGGAAGACACATAAGCCTTCAAAGGGCAAAAAAGGCAAGGTTGGATAAGCCTAACAATGTTCGTTTTAACAAAATGTTGAAATGATTTGGACCTCCGCGTGTGAAACCTCACCGACCCGCGCTGGATCGGTCCCGCGTGAACCCGCGCAGAGTGAACCCGCCTTGGGACATTTGACTCAAGCGCACGCCGCGTCTCGGATCATTTCCACCGGAAACCGTGAGACACCAGCTTCTTCATATGCATCCTGGCCAGATTTCGCTACGATGCCCAGTGTTTTTTTTTTTTTGGTGTTTTTTTTTGAGAAAGAAAGGGCACCCTTTTTTGGTTGGTTGAGGTTAAGGGAGAACCCTTACCCAAAAAGAAAGAAAAAAAGGGCACCACTGGGCAACAGAGGCTAACCCCGCAAAGCACACGGGGGTCCATTTCTTCCCCCCATGTGGTGGAAGCTTACCAGCACCCGGGTCCCAACCAGTGCTTTTTGGATAGCGCAAACGGGATTTTGGACATGGGAAGAAGCAGTTGTTGCGGAGTGGTTCCTTCTTTTGGAAGGTACCCTTGTTTGGCTGTTATAAGGGGAAACCAAAAGGAAAACCAAAATCCATTTTTGGGGTATCCAAAAAAGCACACACAAACCAATAGGTTACCTCTAGGGTCCGTTTTGCAAACCGGCTTTCTGGCATCGTTTTCTCCAAATGTCTTTCAGGTTTAATGCCTCAAACAACTTGGCCGCTCACACTGTGTCCATTAAACGTCCCATTTTCACAAACATTCAAATTCACAATTTCCCCTCCAAATGCTGGTCTAAAGATTCTGTTCCACCCTGGAGATTCAAACACCGAGGCAAAAGCAATACAATCACCAAAACACCTGGTTTTTTCTGGTCGTTTGAAGCTGCAGGCCCAAAGTATTTCTTTTTGAGAAGCCCTCAAAATGTTTGACCACTGCCACTTTTGGTGCCGAGTCCTGCGTCCCCCGCCTTCCAGCCGTTGCGGCCGTTGTAGTAGATGAGCTCACTGGACCTCAGTTGCTCAGTGACCCTGGAAAAAAGAAAGGGAACTTTTTTGGGGGAAGACCGAATTTTTAGTGGTTGGCCACCCAAAAAAAAAATGGAAAAAGAAAAAGACAAAGAAAAAGGGTGCCACTCGACTGAGGGACTGGTCCAAAGGGTTCGGCAAAGTGTCGAAGGCATAGACCTCAGTGGCCGGAGCGTGGGATTTCCAGGAGAAACAAGCGCATGGTCTCACTGCCACTCGAGTGGATTGGCCCAAACTCTTCATCTGGTGGCTCGGAAAAAAAACAAACAAAACGGTACCAACATGGAACCCTGGTAGGTGGAAACATGGACCAAACACCTGCATAACCCCTCCTGGCTCATTTTGAGCCACACCCTGGTACCCGTGTCGTGTCTGGGCGAACGTCGCGATGCCTGGCCCGGAAACGAATCTCTTGTCTGCGTGTGTGTCAAACGTCAAGTGTGTCCTAAAAGCCGTGCAACCAAACAAGTGAAAGAACTACGCCAATTACTCTCCCTTGATAACTTAATCATTTAACCCCTGAGGTGGTTTGGTATACTTTATATAGTGGCTACCCTCCCACCAACTAACATGGAAGTGCAAACAGGCCCTTTCAACTTAGAGTACGCCTTAAAATCCCAATTACCAGTATGTCACATGTGGGAAACCCCTCTCCCAGCTACCAGTGAAATAGGTAACCGCTCGTTGTTCTTCGGCCGTTGACAGGTGAGAAACCCCTTGGTTGCCTACTGGTTGCTGTACAAGATGGGCATGTTCTGGGTTGACGGATATTCCTGGCCCCAAAATGACCATGGGTCGGTCACTTTTCGGATTGCGTGGTAAAAGTCATCTGTTTGGTGGTTTCCCTAAGGGTCACCCCATGAAAAGGACCTTTTGATCAACCCCCATGTGTCAAAAGAAGGATTTGGACCCCAAACCGTGTGCTTTTCCTTTGGTCTCCCTTAAAAGGGTACCCCTCCTCTCCACTTCGCCATGGAACCAAAAGATTCCAAACAGGACCCTTGAGGATTGTGGGCGTCCCCCTGCTTTTTGAGGCTATCCCTTGTCCCGGCTTGGGCAAATCAAATTAAATCCATTTTGGGACGTCGTCCGGTGGCGATCGCAACACCCAGGTTCACAGGCGGAGACACCAAGTTCCCAAGGCGTCCGGGTGGTTCACCAAGCCAGGTGGTTGGAAGCTTCACCGCCTTTTACTTGGTTGACGTTGGAAGGGGAGCAACAAATTGGATTCAATCTTAGCAGTTAAGTGGCTGGAGTTCAACCACTAAACCACAATAAGGAAACATGCAACATGCTTCCCAACAACAACCACCTTCGGGTATACACCCCCCAAAAAAAACAACAACCAAAAAAAAGGCGTCCGCGTTTTTCCTTTGTGTAGTTTCCGTCCAAAAGTTTTTGGGGGGTGGACAAAAAAGAAGTCAGGTCTCTTTTGGTCCGAGGCTCGTAGGCCTCTTTCCAGTTGTCGCTCAGGAGGCTGGGCCCCAGGAACTTGGGCACCACCGTGTCCCAAGAGAGGCCTCGCGCTTCCCGAAGCAGCTTCCCGAAGCCAAACCCGAGGCGTCCGCTGCAAGCCACGGGGTCCAAAGCGTTCCCTTTGCGAACGGGTTGGATTCCCCGAAAAAAAGTGGGTAACTCGTCTTTTTTTTTGTTGAGGGTACTTGGATGTTCGATTGGCCAAGTTAGTTAGGTGGAACGGCAGTCCTTCGGGTATTTCTATATATATATATAACCCAGTTATAAGTCCCTGGTTCAGTGGGAATATAACCTTTTTGAGGGGGTTACAACCCAAGTGACCAACCACAACTTGGCAACAAACATCCAAGTAGTTGAAAATCTCAGGGGCCCAGCCCTCAAAAGATGATTACAAGCATTGTCTTCACGTTTTTTTCTCTGAAGCCATTTTCCCAGCAGCCAAGCCGCCCACAGAAGAATCCTAGAAGAGAATTGTTGGAAGGACAGGCGCCCTTCCTTTCTCACTTCCTGAGTGGACTGGCCAAAACAAGGCCAAGCTGTTTGTTTGCCACCAGCCAAACCAGCAACAAGTCAGCCAAACAAACCAAAAACATGAAACAAACAAACAAGCAAACACACACAAACAAAGAAATTAACAGGCATAGCAAACAAACAAGCAAGCGAGCAAACAATCAACAAAAACACACTTACCAACCAGCCCAACCCACCAACCAACCAAACAAACAAACCGAACAAACCAAACAAAGAAACCAACCAAGCAAACAAACAAATAAGCAAACAACAAACAAACAAAAAAGCAAAGCACACAAACAAACAAACAAACACACACACACACACACACACACACACACACACACACACACACACACACACACACGCGAACAACCAACCAACCAACCAACCAACCAACCAACCAACCAACCAAACAAACAAACAAACAAACAGAAAGCAAGCGAACAAACAAAATAAACAAACTAAACAAACCAAACAGACAGACAGACAGACAGACAGACAAAGAGACAATCAAACCCTGTGGTCCCGGACCGGCCCCTGCCTCCGTCACTAGTGCGGATCATGGACACGGTGCTGCCGGACTGCTTGCCCTCCTGTGAGCGAAAAAGCGAGCGGCAGGGGCCCTGCCAAACGGGTCAACATCTTCAGACGTACTATGGATGATTCATCAAATGGCTGAACAGCCAACTCAAGAAAAGCAGATGTTGCTTGAAACGAATAGATGTCTTAAAAGTATTCTGTTCCCGGCCCTGAGAACTGAATTGCTATCCTGGAGCTGTCAAGTACCAAGCACATCCAAGCGATTCTGTGGCCGGCCATGGAGGGAGGCTTCGGTTTGATTGTCCCACAAGTAGCCAAATCCCAGACATTCTCCCAAGGATACAGTTTTCCCAAATTTAAGGCCGCATTTACCAGTGGTGTCAAAGGCATTCTACATGTACCGAGGTTCGGCCTTCAGGCTGGTCAGGCTTCGAATCTTTCCTTTCATCCCAACTTAAGGGGAGGGGACTCAACTGAGCGGCCTGTCAAATACGTGCACAACCCTACCAAGATGGTCATACAAGTTCATTTTGTCTGCGCAGCACACAGCTGACCATTAAGGCGGTTGGCCATATTCCCTTCTAGGCTTCTGATCCCCTAGCTCCGGTCTTGGAGGGCTGATTTCTGGGTTGGCATGTCAAAGAAAACAAGAAACAGGCTGCGAGTTGCCCAAAAGCAGCCGCATGAACGCAGCCACTGGATCTCACCTTGCACATGAATTCAAGTGGGTTCGACTGACACTGCCAACTTTCAGGAGTCACTTGATTTCCCCCCCCCCAAAAAAAAAGTTGCGAGATGTTCCTGGTGTCCTTTGAAACTGCCACTTTTGGAGGCCCCAAAAAGGGGACACTGAGGAACCCCTGGCTTTTCGAAGTCCCCAAAAACGGGTTCTCGAGGGCCTTGGAGCTGCACTTGCCGAGGCAAATCGATACCCAAAAAAAACACACCTCAGCAAAATGTAATTCATCTTGGGCAACTCACTTGCTGAGTGGATGGCCCAAAAAAAGTTCAAACTTGATATTTACCAGTAAAATGGTCTTCCCAAAAAAAATGAAGTTCATGAACTCAGGAAGTGAGGCAAGCAAAGCACGGCCCATTTCAGTCTGCGAAAGGCCTCAAATAGAGAAGTAGAACAGCTGATCGTGCTTTTACAGCAATTCAACGAATCCCTATAGAAAACGAGATAACTGCGACGGCGCGCAGCTCGGGGCGTGACTTTGGGTGTGACGATTCGATGCGTGTCTCATTGGGCACCATCAGATCCGGGCGGAGCTCGTGTCAAACCCTCGCACGCTCCAAACCTTTCCAAGCCTTGGCAGCAGAACAAACCAAGCCAAGAAATCCGTGAAGTTCGTCGCAGAATTCAGAATTGGAAGGACCACATAGTTCAGGCTACTGTGGATGCACGAAATCCACCACTTTGAAACCATGGGAAACCATTGTTTGTTGGTATTTATATGCAGGAGAATCGTCATTGCAGGGATTCGTCCATCAGGATTTCGTCCGTCCACAGCATCACTTGACTCTAGGCCTTCACTAATCTTGGAATCTCATGGAAACCCATTCCTCAGCTAAAACCGGAATCTGGATCCACAGGGGTCTTCAACCAGATACTTGCCAGGCAATGGAATCACTGGGGTCAGGGATGGTTCACTTACCTCTACACGGGTTGTCAGACCCCCTCTCCCCAACACACCGGAGGGGTCAACATTTGGGGCTTGATACATATTCCCTTCGGTCCCCCAATCTCCATGGGTAACTATTTCCCATTTAAAAAAATAAATAAAATCTTTCCGACCAATGGTCATCCCATGTACCACAGACCTTTTGAGCAACCCTCGTGTACAGGCTCTCTCACAAAGCGAAATTCCGCACGCGAAGCTCCTCTGCACTCAAGTTCTTGGTGATGCGGTTGCACAACGCCACCCCCACGCCGTTGGCGGTCTGCAGAGTTCGAATGTCCACACCCGGGCAGAAAACTGGCGTAAATACATAAAATGCACCCGTGAATGTGTAGATAGTGCGTGTATATATATATATATATGTACATATAGGAAATGTGTATACACATATTCTGTATGGTGTTGAAAGAAAGCACGGCTGCACTGGCTACTGCGCACACATACATGAGTGACTATGATCACAAGCGTTTTACCATGCCATTTGCATAGCCTCACACATATACACATAATGTGTACACAAACGCACATACGCAGCTACCATACGCAGATTCATGCAGAAAAGGATATCCACAAAATCCCGCGGTCTATGGCAGTATGCGTTGTGCTTGTTTTGCCAAGGAACAAAAACACACACCTGTCCTGCACACAATCATACAAGTGAAAAAACAAACAGACACAAAAAGCCAGGTCTCAAATCCATTTGTAAATGCAAAGGTGTCCCAATGAAGCTGTCCTCAATTCCAAGCTGGGTAAATATCAACCTAAGGGTACCCATGGGGGTGCCAATTACCCTCCCACCAATTCGCATGGAACCTGACAGGGGGGCCTTGAAGACCACTTTCTTTGAAAGGGGCCCCCTGTCAGGTTCCATGCTCATTTTTGGGAGGGCAGCTGTCGCCTTGTTGGCTTCCCTTTGAGCCCACCTGAAAAGGGTACCTAGCCTCACAAAAGACACGCTCAAACGACGAGTATGACTTGTAATCAGATACCCCTTGCTGGACATCACCAGCACGTTTTGTTGGCCCACATCCGGGGTACTCCAGGAGATATCAAACTGTTTTTTTTTAAGAAACTTATTAATCAAACTGTTTTAAACAAAAAAAAGAGAAACTAGCAGTTGGAGATATCATAATTCAAGGCATCTCACAGCAACATCGACATGAATATAGATTCCCACGCGGGTTAGCAATAGGTTGGAACGATCCCAAGCAAATCCATCCATAAGCAGTGGATGTAACTGGACTAGAAGATCCTCACCAAGGCGCCGAATGTGTTGGCATTCGACAGGTTTAAAAATCCTTGACGCAACCACACAACTACTTCCCTGCAATTCCACATATGGAACCAAACATATTTTTTGTCAAAAGGCTCCTGCTGCAAACGAGATTCTTGTAAACAAGGATGGGCTTTTACATTTCATAATGAGCTGGGGAGTAAACCCAAGTTGGGTTAAATCCAGGTGGAGTTTTGTGTCCCATTTAGGACAACTCCCAACACCCTCCCAACTTTCCGCCATAGATTCCAAGCGAAAACAACCACGGCATAGATCACAGCAACGGGCCCGTGGCGCTCCCCTGAAAAGACCGACCAATCGGGGAGGTCCGCCATAAGACCGCCTGGCCCCCAGACTATCCTTAGAAAAGGAAATGCGCCCCATCATTTTGGGGCAATCACACCTTTTGTAAGGCAACTGTGAGGGTCCAGGCAATCCAATTCTCACCACCATGTCAACGCGCCCCATAAAAAAGGAACAATGACTGACACATGTTGAAGGGAATTGTAGGGGAATTTCCAGGCAATCCATGTCAACGCCTGTCGACGCGCCGAGGGTCGATGTCCGCATAGGGACTCTTGATGATCTTCAAGGAGCCATTGCCGATGATCGTCAACCCCGGGATGTCCCCACGCACCTCCTCCGCGTCGGATCGGCTGGCCCTGTTCTGCTCCACCCGGATCCGATGTTCCACTATAATTAATACAGGTAACCAGCTGGGGGTTATATTTCTGACCCCCAAAAATGAACATGGGGTAACTGTTCGCATCTAATGATGAAAATTCATCCTGGTTGGCAGTTGTCCTAATGGCCACCCCTTGTTTTGATCAACCCCCAGCCATTGTCCTTTTGGTTTTTAAAGGGTGGTTCACTTGGTGACCTACTGTCTAGGTAAACGGAATCACTGGGCCACATGTGGCCTATCCCAAAGGCTGATTGTATGAGTCCTTATGTGAGCTGTTGATTTTGGACCCTTTGAGGAATTTAATTAAGCCACAACTAACAGTCAATTAGGGATTCATACCAGGGGTTCATATATGGACGCATACATTCAGCTTTTGGCTAAAGGCTTACATCCTAGCTTTTAGCAAAAGCGTCGCCTAATTGCAACTCCTCGCATGTGTTCGAAGAAGGCCTTACAGAAGGGCCTAAGGGAAACTACACCTGGAACCTTGCAACGGTAGGTAAAGGGAACATGTTCTCCTTGCCCTGGCTGTAGAGGCTCTACAAGTAATTCATTGGAACGGGGAAAACTGAACCCTCGGGCAATTCAAGGCCCGCCACTCCTTTTCATGTGGCTCAATGTGGACGCCGGAGTAACTGTGTGGTGGCTAAAAATATGAGATGGAAACCCGTGATGGCAACAGCTTCCTATTGGATTTCCTGAAACACCAACAAAAAACTCAAAAACGATACATACTTGTGTGTTCGGCCAAGAGACTGGAGTTGTTGACAGCCTGGGCTATAACTCACTGTTACCTCCCTCTAAGTGGAGTTAAGCTTTGTTATTAGGAGACTTGACCCAAGTAGCCTCAACTTCCTGGTGAATGACCAACAAACACTCCATGCTTTTTGTCTAACACTAAAATGGTCTTCCCAAGTGATTACAAAGTCCAGGAAATCAGGAAGTGAGCAAAGAACCACTTACTAACTTGGCCGAACATCCAAGGGGATGGACGGAACCAACGCCATGGTTCTTGACGGAGGGAAGCAACATCTTCTGCGAATTCTATGCAATTGTACCACCTAGCAGGAAAAAAACAATCCCCAGAACAAACCTAGGCAACTGCTTTGACGTCGCAGGTTGCCTCCATGCGTGGTGTTCAAGGAAAGCCACTTTTCGGGCGTACCTTTCAAAACATGCACCCAGCCGGGTAGGTTTGTATCTCCTGGTTTGAGACTTTTCAGAGTTGGATCTCCCGAATGGACCTTTTGGACGACCAAAACCGTTTTGAACGACCCGTCCGTTTTGGTCGTGAAACCGGGGCCCTGAGTTGGACGGGCATCGATGTTGCTTGATCCACTCCCAGGAGTCCAAAACATGTTTGCACCCTCCCCATTTCATCCACCTGGAGCCTCAAAAAATTGCCTAAAAAGGTGGGTGACTACCCCCCAAAAGTATGGGGTGCCTCTTCCCTTCGTCTTTTTCTTAATGGGCAGTTTGGTCCAGGAGCCTCCTGGCTTCCTTTCAACCGATTTCGGTGTCCCTGGTTCCTTTCCCCCGTGGAACCGGTTTCCCGGATTCCCGGGGTCCATGGGCTTCTCCAGCACGCGGGTGTAGGGCCCCAGGAGCTGGTCACTCTGCGCCAGCCCGAAGTTCAAGGGCTCAGCGATCCCGGAGTCCTGTCTGGCAAGACTCACTTGCACAAAAGACCTGGAAATACAAGGTTAACCTTTTGGGGTCATGACTAAAAATAGATGCCAAGCCCGGAAAACTAAAAGGTCGAAAGGTCGGCTTTGGGCAAGTAAGAAGATGAAGGAGACTGTTGTTGGGTCATCCCTAGTTCATTGCCAAGGGGGATAGATTCCCGCGAGTATGGCACAGCTTGGGCGAAAAAAACAATCACCAAAGAAACAAGAGAGATGCCAAGGGTCATCCCTACTAGTTCATTGCTGCAAAGGCTCATTCCACCTGGATGGTTTCTACAAGTTCATTCCTTCATTCCCTACTGAGCACCAGCAAGTTCAGTTCATTGCCAAGGGGGATAGATTCCCGCGAGTATGAAATAGCTAATCCTGCAACAATGGTACCACCAAAGAAATAGGAGAGCCAAGGCTCATCCCTACTAGTTCACTTGCTGTTGCGATTGCTAGGGAATGTGGGAATGAACCCAGGCTTTGGTCCCCTTGGAAACCACCAGTGGGTCCCATGGACAATCCGACCTGTTTTCTAAACAGTTAAAGTCCAAAGATCCAACCAATAAAGGATTCACCTGAACAACCAACATACACTTTTTGGTGGATATCAAGGAACTGTACAGTTGAAATCCTGGGCTTCTGGTGGCCTCCAAGAAACCAAATAAACCCTGATCAGCGGGCGTCCCCTAGTCGGAGGCAACTCAGGATATTCCCTAGCCACATCTCCATGTCGTCCTCGAGAGCTTAGTAACCCGAGCAACATCCATAGCACCTGGGAAGGTTTTCACTTGCATCAGCCCCGGACGGTAAGGGGACCAGGCAACGGGTACGAACTTACGAACTCTGGGTGTGCGGAACATTTTGGGCTTTGTTTGATTGTTGTTCAATTGCATCATGTTAACCAACCGCAACAAGGGCACCTTTAAAAACACATACAATCAGGGCTGTGGGGAATGGAATCCACTTCTGTGATACAACAGAAAGGGCTTCCCAAACACTATTTTCTTCATATAAAGGGGGATTCCCTTGTATCACAGAAGTGGGGAGAAACCCCTTGATCCCACAACCCTGCATACAATCGTGAACAACTTGCAGTCCGTCACGTCGACCTTGCCGCACGAGTAGTAGAGCCAGTACTTGCCCTGGACAGCACAGGGTATGCGGGCTGTCGCCCGATGGTTCCCGTCAGATCTGTTGTGTCTTAAAATAGGAATCGGACCCACAAAATCGTGGCTTTCCCTTTGGCTTTCAGTTACCCTCCCTCCAACTAACATGGCACCTGTGGGAGGATACCTGGAAGACCAATTTCTTGGAGGGACCCCCTTTCAGGTGCCATGTTAGTGGGGGAGAGGGTAAAGCAAACCCAAGGGTACCCCAAAAAGAAGACAGATCCATTCACCAGTTATTGGTCTCCACCCTTAAGCCAAAGGGAAAATGGCTGGTTGCCTATGGGGCAGTGCCGATGGCTTCCCCCACTTCGAAGTAGGGATGGCCAAAAGGCCCAAACCTTGCCCAATAGATTCCAGGTAACACTTCAATAGGCCACCAGTCATTTTCCTGGTCTTTAAAGAGTGCTTCCCTTGGTTACCCCTGTCATGGCTCACAGACTCACCGGGATACGCGAAGCCCGGGATCACCTTTTATGACGCGACCCGACCGGCTGCTCCCTCTTGCCTGAACGGCTCGCAAAGGGTCGAGTCCGACCTTTTGTAGTTCCTGCACCCTCAAACTACCAACCCACCCAGAGGGTCCAAGTACCTTCTAAGGATGTACTTAGACCCCTTTTGACCCCCCAAAAGCCATCCTCAGAAGGTACTTGGACCCTGTGGGATAGAAAGGATGGAATTCACCAACCATACTGTTGGGTTGCAATGACCCGTTTAAAAAAAAGAAAAGAAAAAGATGGAACTTGCTAGCATAAACAAAGGAACTCACCAACCAGAATGTCGGGTCGGAATAACCCAGAATAGGTTTTAAAGCCATGTTGTTTGCGGATTTCTGAAAGGGTGGCCAGCCCTTGGTTACCTAGAAAAAAAGTAAACGGAATCACTGGGTCGGGAAAAACCTTTTGTTTCCAGGCGATTCGGTCAAAGACCTCCGTCATGAAAGGACGCTTTCTGCTTGAAAGGAACGCTTAGAAAAAGTCCTCACTTCCGCACTTCTGATCGAGTGGACCAGCTGCTTCTGTGACCACTAAAAATTGGTCGAAACACCACAAGTGAGCAAAGTCCAAAACGGAACTCAGGGAGTGAGACGGAAAGGTCAAGACGCGAACTTTGTGCCCCGATTTTTTTGGACATCATGGTAATTTGGATTTATGTCAAGCACTTTTGAGGAGTTGCCGCTTAAAATTCATGGCTACTTTCATCTTCAAGCCACTTGCCTCTGGTTGTCAGGAGCGAATGAAAGAGGGGCCAAGAGCGACTAATAAGGCCTAGCAGTAATCTTTTTGAGTGCTTTCTTGTTCCGAGGGGAGGGGGGTGGGGGGGACAACCATGGGATACAACAGCTATACATGTAAAAGCCGAAACTGAATACACATAATTGGCTTGTGATCATATCTTATCTTAGTTTTCAAGCAAGCCCCATACTGATTGCTTTGCCCTGCATATCAGCTCACAGGTTGGTCACAGTGCCATGCAAATGAGCAGTCATTCCAACCACGTGATGAGACCAAGCCGACCCCAAACACGGCCGTTGTACTAGGGTATAAGTGTCCAACCAATGTCATGGTTGTTGGGGGCTCCCAAAAGAGGGGCCCTCCAATTGAAAAGAAGACTCCCAAGAGGAACCCTGCAGGATGTTCCTTCCATCTGAATCGACTTCCGCCCTGAAGGTCTCATTGAGGCGCGCTCACCGTCAAAACGACAGGAGGAAAGCTGAAGATGTACGCTGCTCATTATCTTCAGGCATCCTCCTTTCCAAACATGGGCCAAACCCCTCGAAAATAGGTGGTTTCTAAAGAGAGCGATAAGAGAAGATAATGGGGAATCACGCGTGAACTACAAAATCCAAAACCGGAGAAAAAACAATACTTTCAGCCTGCTGGGACCCCCGAGAAAAAAAACAAAAGGTCAAGCCTCACCTTCTGTAGGTTCTCAAGAAAAGCGAGTTGTTGTTTTTCTTTCTGGGGTACCCGCCAAATGTGATTTTCCGGTTGGCTGTCCTGTACAACCGCCCAAAACTAAGGTAGTCTGAAAAAAGACACAACCATTACAAATTTATTTCCCAGCCATGCCCCAAGTCAAGTTTGCCGGGATCACAGCTGGAAACAAATAGACAGACTGTGATCAAGCCCAGCGTCAGCAAAAAAATCCTCACTTCCTGAGTGGATTAGCCAAAAATGGTGCCGGCTTGTGAATTTTCACTAAAACTGTCCGCTAGTAGAAAGTTGGAAGTTGAACTCGAGTGGGAATACAGGACATTCTACACCAAAACAGCTCTCCGCTTTGGCGTGCTTCGAACCGCCTTCACCGTGTTGTAGTACACGAAGGCGTTGCCCACCCGACTTTGCCCCTCCTTCTCCCAGGGCAACCTCGACATGCAGAAAAGACAAAGGCAGTCGATAGGATCCCCCACGTCATAGATACTATATAGTAACATATACATGTGCGTATGTATACACATATACATATGTATATATATATATAAACGTATATATATATATATATACACCTATACATAAATACATACATATATTTACATATATATATATATACACATATATGTACATATATATATATACATATATATATATATGCTTGCCAATCCTTGGCATGTGAGCGGACAATTTGCTTTTGCAGCTACGCACTCAAACACAGTGAAGATACATAGCTATATCAGCACTTGTATATCTATATATATATATATATGTAAGTATATGTATGTGTATATATAAATATATAGCCTATTGCCCCCTAAGTTGAAGCCCATCTCCAGGATGGGATCCCTGGGATCCTAATCCAGAAGTTGTCTTGGAGCAAGGCTGAGGCCTGGTATGGACATATTTGATTCGATGGGAACTCACGTGCCCAGTACGGCGTTTTCGGGCCGCCAAAATCCGGATGGGCCCCGCCTCGAGAGTACACCTAACCGCGAGATAGGCGTTTGCTTGGGGATTCCAAACCTCACCCCTATTGAGACGTTAAAAGCTTTGGGTTCCCTTTTGGTTTCCATTTAAAACCAGAAAAAAAAAAACCGCTTCGAGCTGCATAGCAGTTGCCATCTAGATTGACCAGGTCCTCGGTGCTTGCTCATCAGCGCTAGCCGTTCTGACTGAGCAGGGCTGTGGGGAATGGAATCCACTTCTGTGATATAACAGAAAGGGCTTCCCAAAGACTATTTTCTTCACATAAAGGGGGATTCCCTTGTATCACAGAAGTGGGGAGAAACCCCGAGTGATCCCACAACCCTGCTTTAAATGAACCCGAAAAGGTTGGTACCCTCAAAAGACAACCCCCCTCCTTCATTTATTCTTTGACACCCGGGCTTGAGACGGCTGTGACTGAGCGCTGCGAACTCCAAGTCAAAAACAAACACCACAAGACATGAGGGTTAAAAACTCCTCTAAAATGGTTTGGTTCCATTTGGTTTCCCTCTAAGGACCAACCAAAAGAGGATTTGGAGAAACTTCTATTGAGTACCTTTTCTTGGGTCTAAAGGGAGGCCAAGAGGACTGAAGCCATTCTGGTGTCCCTATTTATGACACCCATTTCAAAAGGTTTTAACATCATTCGACCTAGGCAACCAGTTATAGAATGTATATGTAAAATGGTTTGCTTCGCTTTTGAGTCACTGGTAAAATAAGGATGTACTTAGACCCCTTTTGACCCCCCACAAGCCATCCTCAGAAGGTACCAAGACTCTCGGGGCAAAACATGAGGGTCCAATATTTTTAAACCTATGCCTCCATTTTGGGGCGGATGAAGACCCATGTACTAATTACCTATTTTGATGTTCACCAGGGGTTTCCTGGATTTTGACCCACCCACATTTCTCGGTTGCTTTCTGCTCCCCTGCTAAAAGTTTAACGTTTAGTGGTTTAATGGAAACCCATTTGCTGGCAACAGGTTAAAGTCCTAACATCCAAGCAGAATGCAACAAATAGGTTTTACCAAAAAGGCCAGGGCGCTTTGGCTTGAGGATCGTCGTGGCTGGCCCGAACTTCCACTTCCCCACCTCCGCCTCCCGGGCCGCGATGTGGGAGCTCTGGAAGAAGGGGCACTCGAACTGCCTCGAGCCCGGCGAAGATCGATGGCGCAAAACGGGGGCAACATGGGGTATACCCCGTTCTTCTGTTTGTTTGTTTTGTTTCCTTTTTGTTGTTTATTGTTGTTTCTAAGTATATCTAGGGCATGTCTAAAATTTAGGGCAACATGGGGTATACCCCGTACATGACTGTGGTTGTCAAAACCAATGGGAATCCATTTTGGGGTAGGTGAATTCACCACCCACATTTTAGAACCTATTTTTGTGGGGATTGAATCGGATGTTCACTGAGAGTACGGGATTTTGACTCATGGCCATGCATCTAGGGTAACACCGGAAAATATACACTTCACATATTGACTAGATGGTGGCTGTATATCCATTAAACAGTAACATTGGGTTAGTGGAAAACAAGTCAAACAATGATCGCGAAAGAGGTAAGTTGTCAGTAGCCACGGCCCTTTTCCTCACTCCCTGAGTGGATTGGCCCAATGTCTAAAGTGTTGTCTGAAGTTTGTCTACCTGTAAACTTGTTCCTCGCCTTTTGAACTTGAGCACACTGATTACTCAAGTGAGTAGGTCAGAAAAGGTTCAGCTGTGTTGTTTGCCAACCAATTGATTGAATCAAAAAGTTGTTTGAGTCAATTCAGGGTCCAATCCAAACTAACCCTGGCAATCCCTTAGAATACGGAAAAGAGCACGCGGAGTGGCAACTGCAGGTAGAAAGTTGTCCATGGAAAATGGCAAACAAAACCTGAAAGATGGAAAAGCCATGGAGAAAAAAACTCGGGAACATGCAAACACCTGGGAACAAAACCCATGGACAATGGAAGAATCTTGGGAAATTGACAAGGGTTTTCAGCTGGCAATAAACAACTGGCAAAGGCCCTAAGTGGAGGGTCCTTGGGTGCTCTGAACCCAGCCCTTTTGGTGCCACCGTTGATTGTTGCTTTCTTCTCCCTAAGGAGCGTCTCACACCCGAACACAGGGGCATGCGACACAGCCTGCGACTCCGTTTGCCCTGAACTACCCATAATAAAGGAGATTCACCCCGTAATTTGGGGGCAATAACCCATTTTGCAGGGGGATGTTGAGGGTCCGGGTATATAGTACCACCCCTTAATTACCAGAAGGACAATGGCGAAGGGTTACCTATTATAGTGGGCGCAATGCCTGGGATCCACTTGGTTTTAAAGGTTGATTGAGGGCTATACGGCTATACTCGCCGAAAGTAAAACCACACTTTGCATTCACCACTAAACTGGTCCAAACCCAAGGGACTAAAGCCCAAAACGGAACTTGGGGAGTGAGCATAACCCTTATGAAGCCAGGTATTAGGTATTACCTGCTTAAAAGCTTGCCCACCATAGTTGACGTGATTTGGGACTTCGTGGTTCAAGCCTTGTTTTCGAAATGCAGGGTGATTCATTCTAGGGCAAAACAAAACGCCCTTGCTTGCCTTCTTTTGTGCCGACAGAGTGATACATACATATATATATATATGTATTTACAATATATATATATATCATATGTGTGTACTATGTATACATATATATATATATATATATGTATTGTGTATATATATATATATACAGATGTATATATATATATATTGTTGTCTATATACGTATTTATATATATATATATACATATATATATATGTCCGAACTGTACCAGATGCTGGTACGAGAACTTTGGACTTTATATCTCACACCGTTCATTCCGACGACATCTTTGACCCTCGACCGAAAAGGCCCCAAGTTGGACTCTGCCACCTTGAGCCGGTTTGCTTGCCAGTCATCAGCTTTGAATGGAGGGATGTAGAGATGTTAAGCAGGATCTGCCGTCCTCATACCGCACAAAATACATCAAAGGAGAACAAAACAAACAACAAGCTGGCAGGTTGTTCTCCAACTTGAAGGGTGCGCCTGAGAAAACACAGTTGCCATCTATCTCTACCCACCTGCGATGACTGCAAGCTGAACTGAGTCAACCAGGGTAGGCGTTGGGGACCCGGAGGCCCTCATCCAAGGCACTCATAGAAGAGCGTCACCTTGTTTGCCTCCTGATTCAATACGAGGGCACAAGACACAACAGCTAACATCCCACTTGGCCCACATCTGGCTGTACTCCAAAACAAGGGTCTTCAAGTTTGTGTTTCACACTTCGCCAACCGCAAAGCAGAGCATGGAAGAACGTGCGTTTTGGGGTTCCGATTCCTATAAGACAATCCCAGGAGGGGGAGCCTTATTTGGGTTTAGGGGAGCCTCGAGAATGGTGGCTTTCCTTTTGGTGTCCCTTTAAAACTAATCAAAAAAGAATCCCCTCAAAACAAGACAACCCAGGGAGTCTTATTTGGCTTCACTACCAAAGACAAGCCATGTTAGGGAGCGAGCCTTATGTTTGAAAGCTTGGTGTAACGTGAAACCCAAAAGGACAACCGCTTAATTTTTTGGGCTTCCCTAGATTTGTTTTAAAAAAAAAGGAGGGAGCCGATCAGGATTTTCTCCGGCCTTGTTGTGAAAGATATAGGGCCTCACCGTGCCAAAGTCCACCACAGAATCCGCCAGCTGCTTGAAGGACGTGGGGTCGGAACTGCTGGCCACGTAGTGCTGGATATTGCCCAAGGCGCCTCAAGCAGTAGGATGACTTTCGAGTTACCACCATCAGGGCTCCCTATATTGTTGGGATTGATTCCCCGTTCTTTTCAACCATCGTTCTCTTCAAAAACCGGCTGTTTCTCCCTGGGTTTTTTTATGGTTTCCTGAAAAGAAGGATCCCTGGAAAGACTGGGGAAGGTACCCCTGGATATATTATCCTTAAACCTTTCACGGGCCGAAAAGTTGATGTTTAAAACAACCAAGGGACATATATGGACCCCGCTCACTATACTTGCTGGTTCTCAGCAATGAGGGAACCACCAATCTCCTATAGTTTCCTTCGGGTCATTTACTGCTGAGCACCAGCATGTTGCAAATGTTGCTATAATTCCAAAAGCCATGGCAGGAAGGGCATCCCCAATTTGTACAGAGGGTATGGCCAGTTTTGTTGAGGCTCGGCTTTTTTCCTTTTAACCTTGGCTAGGGAAACAAGGCCAACTGAAATCCAGTTTGGGGGTGCAAATCCCTATGTTGATACTGTAGATAACGGCATCAAGAAAAGGATTTCACAACCAAAATGGCTGCGGATTTATGTGTGTCTCAAAAGGCAAAAACAAAGAAGTGCCTCTATGTCTGCATGTCTGCCACCCACATGCCAGAAGGGTACCAAAATTCCAAAAGAGACGCACCCACATGCCAGAAGCAGTCAAGGTATGCCAACTACAGAAAGGGCGCGTAAATGAGGACGTGTCCACAGGGGTAGTGCTGACCCCAGACTGACAGAACGGGAGCCCCTCCAAAAGTAGTGAATCCCCCTAAAACTGAACAGCCCATGGGGTTACACGGAGCAGAAACCATGTATAAGCTAGAAAGTGACCCCCGAGACTGGGGCGGAATCAAGTCTCCCACACAAAATCCGGCAGTGGTTTTTCCCAATGAAACGGACGAAAAGGGGATGTCGCCCATCAATCTTGACGGATGAATCAACCTGCAGCATAGTGTTGACCCCGAATTAATCAACCTCAGTTTATTGATAAGGGGTGTGTGCCTGGGCTTAGTGTGGAATCATCACTTCTGGAGGGGAACACCCCCTATCAATAAACAGGGCTTGATTAATTTGGGGTCAACCTCCGGGGGAGATGCCAGGGATCCCCTCTTCTTTAATGGGACCAGGGTGACCTGAATCCGCTCTCATTTATGAAAGGCGCCGTTGGTCCACATATGGATCTCCTCGCCCACTTGCAGAACCGTTGGATCCCCGACGATCCAATTCCTAGGTTCGAGACTCGAGGTGACGCATCGGCCATCCCGCGCCCATAGCAAAGGGCAGAAGGCTGATACTTCGGCGAGGCCCTCCAGATTTGAGAGGTTAGCATAAGGCTCCCCCTTTTTTTCTCTAGTCTATTTTAGGTCGGGGCACCCTCCCCCCAGAAAAAAAGGGTAAAAGGCACTACTGAAAAAACCTAGTCGGGCCAGGAACTTTTCCTTAGACCAAAAGACGAGCCGGCCGGATTTGGTCGGTTCCCTTGGGGGTTTGCGCCTGCCTTGGCTCCCATCACGTGGGGTCCCCGGGCTCGAAGAGAAGACAAACTCATCCCTTTCGGTGTCCTTTGCTTCTGCTTAGCTTAAGCCCCTTGGAAAACAAAATACGAAAGACAAGTTCAGTAATAATAGACTGAGAGAACAACGACGTATTCTGAAGCAACAAAAACAAGTCCAGTAATAATAGACTGAGAAAACAACCACGTATTCTGAAGCAAAAAAACAAGTCCAGTAATAATAGACTGAGAGAACAACGACGTATTCTGAAGCAAAAAAACAAGTCCAGTAATAATAGACTGAGAGAACAACGACGTATTCTGAAGAAGCAAAAAAACAAGTCCAGTAATAATAGACTGAGAGAACAACGACGTATTCTGAAGCAAAAAAACAAGTCCAGTAATAATAGACTGAGAGAACAACGACGTATTCTGAAGCAAACAAAAAGTCCAGTAATAATAGACTGAGAGAACAACGACGTATTCTGAAGCAAAAAAAAGTCCAGTAGACTAATAGTAAAGCAAAAAAACAAGTCCAGTAATAGACTGAGAGAACAACGACGTATTCTGAAGCAAAAAAACAAGTCCAGTAATAAACTGAGAGAACAACGACGTATTCTGAAGCAAACAAAAAGTCCAGTAATGAAGCAAAAAAACAAGTCCAGTATAGACTGAGAGAACAACGACGTATTCTGAAGCAAAAAAACAAGTCCAGTAATAATAGACTGAGAGAACAACGACGTATTCTGAAGCAAACAAAAAGTCCAGTAATAATAGACTGAGAGAACAACCACGTATTCTGAAGCAAACAAAAAGTCCAGTAATAATAGACTGAGAAAACAACCACGTATTCTGAAGCAAACAAAAAGTCCAGTAATAATAGACTGAGAAAACAACCACGTATTCTGAAGCAAACAAAAAGTCCAGTAATAATAGACTGAGAGAACAACGACGTATTCTGAAGCAAAAAAACAAGTCCAGTAATAATAGACTGAGAGAACAACGACGTATTCTGAAGCAAAAAAAAAGTCCAGTAATAATAGACTGAGAGAACAACGACGTATTCTGAAGCAAACAAAAAGTCCAGTAATAATAGAAGCAAAAAAACAAGTCCAGTAATAATATACTGAGAGAACAACGACGTATTCTGAAGCAAAAAAACAAGTCCAGTAATAATAGACTGAGAGAACAACGACGTATTCTGAAGCAAAAAAACAAGTCCAGTAATAATAGACTGAGAGAACAACGACGTATTCTGAAGCAAACAAAAAGTCCAGTAATAATAGACTGAGAGAACAACGACGTATTCTGAAGCAAAAAAACAAGTCCAGTAATAATAGACTGAGAGAACAACGACGTATTCTGAAGCAAACAAAAAGTCCAGTAATAATAGACTGAGAGAAACAACCACGTATTCGGAAAAAAAAACAAGTCCCGTAATAATAGACTGAGAGAACAACCACGTATTCTGAAGCAAACAAAAAAAGTCAAGTAATAATAGACTGAGAAAAACAACCACTATTTCTGAAGCAAACAAAAAAGTCCATAATAGATAGACGAGAAAAACAACCACGTATTCCCCCCCTGAGGCAAACAAAAAGTTCCCCCCCCCCCCCACCCCCCCCCCCAGTAATAATAAATGAGAAACAACCAAGTAATTCTAAAAACATCAAAAATCCAGTAATAATAGATTGAGAAAAACAACGACGTATTCTGAAAGCAAACGAAAAAGTCCCCAGTAATAAGAGACGAGGAAAAAACCAACGTATTCTGAGCAAACAAAAAGTCCAGTAAATCATAGACCGGAGAACACAACCACGTATTCTGAAGCAAACAAAACAGTCAGTAATAATATACTGAGAAAACAACCACGTATTCTGAAGCAAACAAAAAGTCCAGTAATAATAGACTGAGAAAACAACCACGTATTCTGAAGCAAACAAAAAGTCCAGTAATAATAGACTGAGAAAACAACCACGTATTCTGAAGCAAAAAAAAAGTCCAGTAATAATAGACTGAGAAAACAACCACGTATTCTGAAGCAAACAAAAAGTCCAGTAATAATAGACTGAGAAAACAACCACGTATTCTGAAGCAAACAAAAAGTCCAGTAATAATAGACTGAGAAAACAACCACGTATTCTGAAGCAAACAAAAAGTCCAGTAATAATAGACTGAGAAAACAACCACGTATTCTGAAGCAAACAAAAAGTCCAGTAATAATAGACTGAGAAAACAACCACGTATTCTGAAGCAAACAAAAAGTCCAGTAATAATAGACTGAGAAAACAACCACGTATTCTGAAGCAAACAAAAAGTCCAGTAATAATAGACTGAGAAAACAACCACGTATTCTGAAGCAAACAAAAAGTCCAGTAATAATAGACTGAGAAAACAACCACGTATTCTGAAGCAAACAAAAAGTCCAGTAATAATAGACTGAGAAAACAACCACGTATTCTGAAGCAAACAAAAAGTCCAGTAATAATAGACTGAGAGAAAACAACCACGTATTCTGAAGCAAACAAAAAGTCCAGTAATAATAGACTGAGAAAACAACCACGTATTCTGAAGCAAACAAAAAGTCCAGTAATAATAGACTGAGAAAACAACCACGTATTCTGAAGCAAACAAAAAGTCCAGTAATAATAGACTGAGAAAACAACCACGTATTCTGAAGCAAACAAAAAGTCCAGTAATAATAGACTGAGAAAACAACCACGTATTCTGAAGCAAACAAAAAGTCCAGTAATAATAGACTGAGAAAACAACCACGTATTCTGAAGCAAACAAAAAGTCCAGTAATAATAGACTGAGAAAACAACCACGTATTCTGAAGCAAACAAAAAGTCCAGTAATAATAGACTGAGAAAACAACCACGTATTCTGAAGCAAACAAAAAGTCCAGTAATAATAGACTGAGAAAACAACCACGTATTCTGAAGCAAACAAAAAGTCCAGTAATAATAGGCTGAGAAAACAACCACGTATTCTGAAGCAAACAAAAAGTCCAGTAATAATAGACTGAGAAAACAACCACGTATTCTGAAGCAAATGTGTGTTTGCAAGACAGTCAAAAAGACCAACTCCCGAGGACTGGGTAGGAAACCCTTCGGTCCATGTTCCTTTTCGTCTCCCGACGGCTTGGAAACACTTTGGCAACCAGGATGGAACCACTGGGTTACTGGACCCAGAGAAAAAAGGACACTGGAAACCTAGTTTCTGACTCTATTCAATCTGCCCCAAAACTATAAGCTGGAACCTCAAACTACCGAACATATCGAGAGAGAATTGACCAACCACAAATGTGGGTCGCAATCACTTTTTCTTTTAGTTGGAACTCTGAGGGTCCAGGAACATAGTTTTGGAGGCGCCAGCAAAGCCAGTGTAAGACCCAGTCGGGATTCCCCATTCTTTTCAACCAGCGTTCTTTTCACAACCCAACTGTTTCCCCCGGGCATTTGATGGTTTCCTGAAAAGATTCGGGCTGGAAAGATTCGGGTTGAAAGCTTCCCGAGTAGACGCGAGAGCACTCAAGCCACGGATCAACTTTCCAGGTGGGCGGATGATCGGGTTGAGAGACCAGTCCTCAGGCAAAGCACCGTCTTGTAGGGGTAGCTTCTTGGTATCAAGTGGGGTGGTTCAGTGGTGTCTCCCAATTTTTTGGGCTGAAAAGAATCCCGTTTTCCAGGGGTAGCTTCCATGTCCATTCCTTTCAGGGATCCTTGTCTCTAGAAAACCATCAAGCACCCTGGTTTTGGAAATGGCGATCGGTTTTGGAAAAGAACGATGGCTGAAAAGAATGGTTGGAATCAACCCTTAGAAGTCTGCTGGTGCTAGTGGCCCAACATCTATGGTTTCCAGTACCCCCAAACCGAAGCTACCCCCCAGGGGTCCAATGAGATATACAGCCACTATATAGCCACTATATCAAGGGTATATACCAATTTACCCTGGGGGGAGTGGTTTGGGGGTACTGGAAACCATCTTAGATGTTTGACTGTGTTTTTTTTCATTGGTGTGTGATGCGAATAATGGGCGTACACGTGCAAGTATCTCAACTTCCCCAATGGAGGGGAGTTCCTAATCTTAGGAAACACACAAATGAATCTTGAATGACGCATGAGCCATGGTCAATATTCATTCTACCCCCACGCTGGGGAGATTCAGCCTCATTTCCACCAGCGATTTGGGGCACATGTGCCAATGTCATCCTTGACCTCAAGCGTGGATCGCATGGGTTTGCCAAAAAAACTATGGACCCCCACAAATCAGACCCAACCAGTGAGCATTCAGTTCCACAAACGGGCGTCTTTTGAAGGGGACCCCCAAAATGGCTTCGGTGTTCCTGCTGGATTCCCCTTAAAAACAAAAAAGAGGGGGGCTTCCAAATGGTTTCCCTTTAAAACAAACCATGCCCAAAGACCAGCTGCTTCACAAAAGCGTGCTGAAGGACCTAAAGTATCGCCAGGGAAATCCGACAGCTATAAACTTAAGTTGCTGTTTGAAGCATCCCACAACCACTGCTTGGAGCGTACAAACGGGATTCTGGAAACGGGAAGAAACGATGATTGGGGGGCAGGGGGGGTGCCACGGTTGGGGGGGTGTGCTGCTTGAAAGGGGAAATGAAGGAAGGTCATCATGGCAAAACCCAACGCACAAAGGTGAGCTGCGTGTGATCTGAGGGGTTGCCCTTTTCAGCTTGTTAAACACAGACATCCGCCACAAGCCACATATTCCCGAGACCCATGCTTTCCACTTCAGGGCGGGAAGTTTTCGGCAAATGCCAGGAGCACTAATTCGCAGGACTACTAAAACTGGCCCCATCGTCTTACCACCAAGGTTCCCCCCTGCGTGGTAGGTCAAAGGGAAACAACCCCGGTTTCCAACTGTCATAAAACCCTGGAAACAGTGAACAATATACGTACGTGATCCAGCCCCCACCCCCACCCCCCTACCCCTCCCCCCTGTAGAATGAGTGTATACATGGAGCCCCCAAACGGGGAAACCCAAAGGTCAAGAGTTGAGCTGCTTGAGTCCAGATTCTGGTAGCTGCTTTGATAGGCAGGGAATGAGAATGGGAATGACCACGCGAGATAAACCATCCATCCGATTTGTTTTCCTAGGGAATCCCTAATACCGGTTCATGCCCTAACACCATCCCTTATGCTTTGCTCTAAGGGAATCCCCAACACAGCTTCACTACCAGCACATTCGCAACCATGGGGGAAACCCCACCCGTTGCATAATCAAAATATGTCTTTAGGGCAGCACTTCTTGCGTGTGGCAGACTGCTGCGGGTGACCTCTTGCGAACCACAAGCACAGTCCAGACAGGAAGTGAGCCCAGCCTGCACACCCTCCGCTGCACCAACCGCCTGAGGCAGACTGAGGCGACTGTTTGCCCGTGGCCTTGGTGTGTGTCTTGTCTTTTTGAGGGTCTCTTCTTTTCGGGTTTGCTTGAACACATGGCCTCAAGAACCCCAAGCTGCCCAACCCCCTGAGATCGTGAAAAAATCCGAAAAACCTCGTGGCTCATTCCGTTTCTCAGGGCCCTCGCCAAGTTCATGGCCTCAAAAGAGGTTGCTTGGAGAATAGTCACGTTTCAATTAGCCAGCTGAAGGCAAGCACCTGCCTTGGGAAAAAAACAGTCTGAGCGCGCGAGTCGGTGGGACCCGGCTATAGACATTGAAATGCACACTCCAGTTCGATCCCTGTTCCACTTATCGAGTGGGTCAATGGATTTGTTTTGGATCCAGTCGCTGCTAACAAACACGTTTCACCAGTCAGATTTCCAGGCAACCCAGAACACCACCCTGCACCTCTCACCAAGAATATGTCCATTTGCTTCAGCCCCCTGGGAGAAATATGTCCAGTAGTGATAGATTCCCTTTAAAAGCAAAACCCGACTCCTCACGGTAGAAGATGGGATCCGTGGAAAAAAGGGGGCACCTGCTGGGTGTGCTTTTCACCGGCATGGAAACTGTACATTCGAGCTGTTCTGCATGTTTGAGTTCGACGGGGTTGTTTTGAACGGGACAATGTGAAATGGAGCCACTCCTTTGAAAAGAAAACACTCAACCAGAAGGTACTTGGATGTTCAAATTAGTAAGTAGTTAGCTACTTGGGTTAAAACCCCCAATCAAAAGCTCAACCCCACCGAACGGAAGACTCGACTCAAGAATGAGTATAGCCTTGGCGGATCGAACACCCAAGTCAGGATTCCAAGGTTTCACCACTAGACGGCTGGATATCCCAAAGCATGCGAATCAAACACCCAAGCACCGCCCTTTCTCGGGGACCAAGGCGTAGCCTGACGTTCGAGTGAATCCCCGGAGGCAACGGGTCGTTTGCGCTTAAAGGGTGCCTGGGCAAGGTTTGGGTTGCCATCTCTCAAGGGCATTTCTATGGGTGTTGCAGGTCATGCTGGAAAATGATGCTACATATATATATATATTCTGTGTGTATGCATATACATATATATATATATATATGCATATTGTATATATCTATATACATATATATATATATATGTATATGCATAATATCTCTCTGATATATGGTCGCCCATGACATATATGTATATGCCACCACGAGAAGCTTGCAATACAGTACACAGCCCTCATCTTAGGTGATAAGGCACCTGGACCCTCACCATTCCAGCTTCAGAATGGGTTCTTGCACACGAAGAGGATGGTTCTAGGGGACACGTCCAACCATTCTTTCCAGGGATCCGAATCTTTCCAGAAAACCATCAGAACCCCAGGGGAAACAGATCCGGTTTTTGAAAAGAGCGATGGTTGAAAAGAATGGAATTGGAATCAAACCCTAGAATGGTTGGTGAATTCCCATCCGAACTCTATCCTCGCCTCATTTTCTGCCAAGGTTCTCAGGGTTGATTCTCCATTCTTTCCAACCATCGTTTTTTTTTTTTTTTTACGAAAACCGGCCGTTTCCATGGGTTTCCGGAGGTTTTCTAGAAACATGGATCCCTGGAAAGAATGGGGAAGGTAGCAATAGAAACGTTGAAACTCTTTTGATGGCCATGGCTCCCTGAATAGCATTCCTGGTCCTGAACTTTGTCGATACACATCTCCATGTCTACCCCCAAGCATGCTGGTGTCCGTGCTTGTATCTCCAAAGGAACACGAACTTGTGGCGTTTCTTTTTGGCATCTCTTCAAAAACACACCCAAAGCAGACATGTCAGCAAACCGAATAGCGAAAAGTTCGCCCTGCCTCTGAGAAGGGTACCGAGCCTCAAACAACACAAACTCAAGTGGGAACGCGCTTGAAAAGCGGCTACCCCTTGCGAAGTTTCCGTTTTTTTTGAAAAAAATGGCCGCTGAACGCCGCCGGATTCGATTCCTCGAATCCGCGCGATTCATGGCGCTGGACATCGCGCCTGCTGCCACTCGCCTTCGCTTCCTTTGGGTCCGGTGCACTGTCTCCTCGTGTGGGAGGTGCGCTCGCCTCACGCGGATTCGAGGCGAGGAGTCGGTCGAAATCCGTACACTCGACCGAGTCATTGCCGGCTCAGAGGAGGGCAAGAAGGAAACCCAAAAGCGCAAACGGGGCAAATCTTAGTTAGCCCAAAGCTCAACTTGCCGGCCTCTAGTTGATTTTTGTTGCAGAAACACTTCGATCCGGAAGTCTGGCAATCATCACTGTCATCACTCGCTTCCTGAGCGGATGATCTACCCAGTAGACCCCAGTGACCACTACAAGAGGTAACCCTCCAGCCGGAGGGATCTGCATACTCCAGAAATTGGTTTCGGGACCCCAGTTACCCTGATAGTAGGTAAACAGCGATTTTCCTGTTGGTCTAAAAAGGGTGGGTTTCCTTTGGTTGCCTACAAAACCGGCAAACGGAGTCACTGGGTTTTAGAATGAAGTCCAGGCTTGCTGTGTGCCACTACGGTCCAGCCGGCACATTTGCTTGAACATTCAACAGCTTTCGTCTCCACAGTCACCCATCCAAACCACCAATTTGTGGCTAACCAACAAAAGGGCAAACAGAAACTCATTTTTTTCTGACTCTTCATGTTTAGTCTGCCCTATCTAGAACCGTTTCGGGCAAGCTGTGAGGGTCCCCTGCATGCCAAGAAGCCATTGTAGCAGCTGGTCTTGCTGCATCCGCCACAAGCACACCCCATGGCGTGCTCTCTCGGGGAGATCTGGAGATCGCGGTTTATATCCGCACTGGGACTGCCTTCATCTCACAAACTGCCGAGCAAATTCGAGCGAAGCGGCAGACCTTCCATGAAAGCCACGACAGCCACAACAAATCACGGTTTTGATGTTCGAGCTACCAGTGCTTGGTGACTAGGTTGTAACCATCCCAGGCTCCCAAAGCAAAAGGCTCGAATCTCTTACTCACTTCCGGGGATTGGCCCAAACAGAACCGAAGTTTGCACTACGCTTCCCACCTGAGCAAAAGTTCTCACCTTCTGTGGGTTCAATGGCGCTTTGCCATGTGCTTCCAAAAAGAACCTCTCGTGGCTAAGGACAATCTCCTCTCGGGAAAAAAAAAACCGCGACCGACACAAGTTGTGAAGCGTTCTTTTTCGATCATGACATGACTCAAGCTACCCCCAACCCCAAGGTTGCTGGGGCTTGCATCCGCAATCTGAGTGTGATCCCCCGCTCTGAAATAAGAAACACCCGTGGTCGCCGGTGGTGTACAGCTTAAGTCAGTGCCTTCCTGAAGTCAACGCCGAGACCGCAGACGCCGCGTTCTGGAAGTCTAAGAAGTCAGTGCAAGCCCAGATGGCTTGCCCCGAGCCCCGGATTTGTCTATTAATCTAGGGGTACTTTCCCCATTCTTTCCAGGGATCCTTCCTTCTAGAAAACCTCCGGAAACCCAGGGACAACGGCAAGTTTTTGGAAAGAACGATGGTTGAAGAAAATGGAATTGGAATCAACCCCTAGAATTAACCAAAGGCTTGCCAAAGGGGGTCCGCTTCGGGGACTTTGCAAGCATGGGTGACCTTTTGGAAAAATAGCTTGCTCCAGTAAACGGAACAAAACTAACCTAAAAAAGTGCCATCTATTTGCACCCGAACTAACCTAAAAAGGGCACCTATGCTTACATGTCTGCCCAGCAAAGCTAGAGGTGTCTCCTCCAAAAGTAACGGGTTGCCTCTGAAATGGGACATGGGTCCCGCTATGGATTGCCATTGCGCAGCACAAAATCCGGAGAAAAAAAAAACACAAGAAGAAAAACGCCTTCCAGACAACCACTGGGTTCACTTATCGCGGTTGACCTGGATACCTTTCCCGGAATGTGGATAGAAGGGACATGATTTGTATTCAGGTTTAAACACTTAATGACACAACCCTTGACGGGCTTGTAACTCAAACGGATTTGTTCGTTGCTTTAAAGAGAGCACCTCCCAGCAAAAGAAATCAGGAGGCAACCCGCTTCGTCTCCTCCAGACCAGCATGGAAGCTGCCGAACGGACCCCTTTGGAAGACTTGGTTCCATTCAAAGAGGCCAATCCGGCTGTTAGTGTGCGGCGGTTTCACCGGGTAGGCTCACTCCGGCAACTTCTCCGTGCCTCCTCATCCGGATCATTGTAGAGCTTAGCCACCTGCCGCACAGCCTGAAACAACATATGAGCGCGCGCAAGGACAAGGGGTTGACGAACCTGTCGCTCTGCGGAGAAAAGCCCGGCTACAGTAGATACACTCCCTCAAGCTAACAGCCTACCAGAAGGCCTCCGAAAATGGAACCAAATCTTCCAAAGGGGTCCTTGGAGCTTTCATGTTAGTGTGGCAGGAAGCACATAATGTGACTACGCTATGCAAGGTATCTTGATGCGGTGCGATAGACATGTCGATGGCTGAGACTGAGTATTGTGAACATTACCCCTGGGCTTCAACTTCAAGTAAAACATAACACAACCTTAGGTAAGGCAGGAACCCTGAAACAAAGAGACTCAAAGCCCCACTGAAGCCCCTATAGGCCTTACTGGTGGCTATTCGGGCAATTGGGGGGGTGGAATCACTTCTTCCATCTCTGAGTCTGTCCTAGGGGCAAAATACTTCGTGTTTGGTTAGTCACCAGGGCTATATAACCAGGGCTATAACCTAAGAGGGTTTACAACCACGGTAAGCAGGTTCCAACTCCCCCCTACTCCAAATACCCGTTTGTTCGGTTCTCATGTCCCCCCTTTACTATCCTTTGCCCAAAAAACCCGGCATTTACTGTAAAATCCAAGGCCACTAAACAAAAACAAAACCTTCGACCTTTAAAAAACAGCAAATGCTTCGATTTTCTCTTGGTGGCCGGGTCTGGTTCCAAACATACGCCCCCGGTCCGAATCCGAAACCGAAACCGAAATTCTGAAACCGAGCGAAGCGGACGGCCTTCCGGGTGCGGCTCCGGTTCTCTCCGCACAGCTCCTCCACCGCCAAAAGCGCCGCGACCCGCACCTCGCGGGGTGCCATGGGCAAAGATGCGAATCGATGTGTAGGTGGGTCTGTATACATGTACATATATGTGTATGAAAACAATGTATATGCACATAAGTGAATCTATCTCTGTGCATATATATATATATACATATGGCATCACAAATTAAGGCAAATACACAGGTAGACATTTGGGGGGGGGGGGGGGTACCATGTGTGTATATATATATATATATATGAGTAGCTAAAGCTGCAAATGCATAAGCAACACATGTACAGGTGTGCGGGTATATATATGTGTATGTGTGTGTATGAGTCATATAATGTATGCGTATTCTCACATGTAAACGAACCGGCAAACATATATACAAGCAAGCACGCAAGCAAACAAACACGCAAATAGACAGACAAACAGACAGAGAGACAGACAGGCAGACAGGCAGGCAGGCAGGAATCACTCTGCGAGAGATTTCGGAAATGGACCTGGGGAGTCCCTCAAGGGCAACCGCAAAATGCATGGTTCGCGGTCTGTCCCTCCTTCCCTATCGAAGCAAGCGCGCTTTTTTTTCCCCGAGTTCGCGCTTTCGCCCAGGGCCTGGCCAATAAGCGCTGCACTCGACCTGGAAATTCCATTTGGGTGTGGCTCAAAATTAAAGAACTATGCACAGGTGTTAGTCTTAGTGTTCATTTACCTGAGTGCCATTTTGGGCACATGTTTTTTAAGCCACGACCATTTCTCCGTATAGGTAACCAAGGACCTGCCCACCTCTCAAAAACCCACAAGCACATTGGTTAGATCTACCCGAGTGGACGGCTTCAGTGATGGACCCCTTGACCCCTTCCTTCAGCTACTTGGTCACTGTTGACCCCCCTGCAAAAAGTCTAACTTTTTGGGGGTTTAGTGGAAACCCCCTTGATTTCCCAAAAAGTTAAAGTCTAAAGATCCAACCCAATAGCAGTCAAGGCTTAAAGCACTGCAATTGTTGCTCCAGCGGTTCGGAGCTCCACCGTGGTGGGTCACTCTGCTAACCACTTGCCTGCCCCCCAGGTCATGCTTGAAGTCGCACAAGCACCCACGGAGCCCAGAAATTCGTGATGCCGAATTCGAAGAATCTGGAGAATGGCCAAAAACCCGTGGGGCATGGGCTTCTCTGAAGAGAAGGATGGATGAAAAGAACGGGGAAGCCTTGGAATAGAGGGCTGTTGCCCCCTGCAACAAATTTCAACTCTTGCAACATAAAGATCCCAGTGGATCCCAGTTACCACTCTCATAGGTGATCAACCATTTTCCTTCGGCTTATATTTCGGGTGGGGAGCCTCTGGTTGCCTAGTCTTCTTTAATAGGTGAGCGCAATTTTTTGCGGATTCGATCAAGTGAACTCTAGATCCAACCCAATCCCTTGGACTGGCGAAAGCTCCGCTTCCCAGGACAAATTTCTCGGCCGAGCGCTCGGCAAGCGAAAGGTCGTTAGAACGTTTGTAGGTTTAGTGTAGGAGCTGCTTCCGTTAGTCCAACTTGAACACCCGTGCTGATGCCTGCTTTCTGCCCTCTACCGCTTTGTCGTGAGTAAATTGTGGCAGCAAAACAGGTGTCAACAAGGGTGTTCCAAAATCCTCAGAGGCCAACATCATGCTCATTCCGGGTCCGTTCAGACAACTCAGCTCTGGAAACAGCTCCGTGTGACTCCGGAAGCAGAAACTTGGCGGATAAATCGGGGTCGCGGGCACCCCTTCTTGAAAACGACCAGCGAGACAATAGTACTATCTACCTGCCATTCACCAGATTCATTCCACACAAAAAGAAAAGCAAAGGTCAGATCACGTCGATTCGGCTTGGGCCACTAAGGGTTGGGACAGCTAACCTTCCACCTAAAATGTCCGTTGCCAAGCTAGTGTTTCGCCAACTGGGCGTAATAAACAACCCCAGTTTGAAGGGCTTAGTTACCCCACTTCAAGGGACTGAGAAGATCTTGTAAGTGGGCTATGAACTAGGTTCTTGCAACCTGGCCGAACACCCAAACCTCCGTTTCCTCAAGTCCCTGGAAACCATTAATAAAAAAACACGTCCAGCCGTGAAATCGATTCCCTGAGCCAGGGGAAAACAACCACATCTTGAGCAAATGAGTCACAATCAAAACCTGGTGCAAAAATGGCGAACCCAGAACCACGTAAAGAATTAGAAAGGCGGCCGCAACTATTTCTGGCTGGAACTGCCCCTTACTAACCTTTATCTACCCGGGTTTTGATTGTGGCTCAAATGGAAGTGACCGAAGTTCGAAGTTAAAAGTGATAGCCCCGCTCGGAGCCTTTTGAACAAAGCCCTGACAGCTCCGACCCGCAAATCCTCAGCCTTTGGAAATAAAGCCCTGACAGCCTTCGGAGCAAAAAAGAGAAACCGCCCTGAAAACCGCCCTGAAATTTGCAAATCACAAAGTTCACGCTGCCCCATAGCGCCCATAAAGGCCCTGATTGAAGCACATCGAACATTTCACGCCGCCCCATAGCCCTCCCCCACAGCTCACGGCTCCGGCTCCCATGGCGCCCCATCAGCTCGCCACGCGCGGCGCCTAGGCTCGCGCCTTGGGCTTGGCCCCGGAACTCTTGGAGCTGGAGCTGCCTCGGAGCGACGCGACTCGGCTCCTTGGTCCTGGCGGACAAATGACACGGGAAGCCTCAGCAGAACGCCTTCCCCTGAAAATTGGAAGATTTAAAGCCCATCTAAAAGAATGGAAGCCCTCTATACCAAAGGAAAGAGGCCTCAGAAACGCCTTTCCCTGGGAAATGGCATACCTTTCTTCCCCCATCTAGACCCGAGCCCATCAATTTCGAGCCGAACTAACTGAGGAAAAGGACTAGCCTATGGTTCGCAGCGGATCCCAGGCAAGCCTATATAATACGACCAGAATAGGCAACCCTTCGCCGTCTTCCCTTTGTTGTTTGTTGAAGAGTGGGAACCCCTTGGCTACCTACTACCTAAGAAAATGGAGTCACTGGGGAAAGCTAAATTGTAAGCCTTTGGGGGGAATACGTTTCATTCCACCCCACCCTTCTGAACCACAAACAAAGGTACGAATGCTTCTCCTTTTGGTTCAACGCCGGAGAGAGGGACAAAGAGGTCGTCCCCCTGCTCGTCCCGTGAGGAGACCAAACCTCAAGATGCCTGGCCTCGCTGATTCTTGGTTCAGCTTCGAGTGTACCCAGTCAAGAGTCAGAACTCAAATCCAATGTTCGATGAATGTTTCAGGTTGCTCCCCCGGAACCTCCCCCAAAATGCGCATATGCGTGTTGGTGTCCCTTCAAAACCCACCTGAGAAACTTATAGAGATAAGGAGGTCCAGCACCTGCGTTCTTTTGAGAAGAGGAACCCCTTGATTGCACCGATTTCGAGGCGGACTTCATGTTCAGAACAACCCCCAGAACCCTGAAATGGTCGGTTATACCCTCAACAAATTAACTACCGACCTAGGGGACTCTGACTTCCGACTTCCGTCACGCAAACCTGCCTCTTGCACACATTGCGACTTACACTCGTCCCTCCATTCCCAAAAGGACCCAACTTGGCACCCTTGAAAGGATGCTCTTTGTTCTTCTTTGGGTATAAAACACAGAGGAGTGAGAAGTAATTTGTCACTGTAATGTTTATTATTATTATTATTATTATTATTATTATTATTATTATTATTATTATTTGGTGTTAAAAAAAGCGAGGGTTTGTCGGTATTCTGTCCTCCTTGGATTCCTTGAATTCCGCTTTTGGCTCGGTGTCTCTAAGACGGGTGGGTCACCCTATCTCCAGGTTCCCCGGCTGTAGGAGCCACTGCCTCTCGTCACGAACCAAACTTCTCGAGTGCATCCGCCATCCAAAAACCAAACTTTGGGGTTGCATTTAAAACCAACAAGGAAAAGTCAATCAGATTTAGTCTTAGTTGACGTTGGAAGGGGAGCAAACATTAAAATTTTAGCAGCCCAGTGGGGACTTCCCACTAAACCACCATAAGCAGACGTGTAAAATGTTGCCTAACAACAACCATGCAATGTCAGCAGTTCAGCACATGTTTTCCTTTTTTTCCCGGCGAGTGGAACTTTTGGTTCGCATTGAAACCAAGAGAACATCATACATATATGCATTTCAGCAAGTGTTTTTTTTGGTGAGTGGATTGGCCAAGCAAAAATCACCTAAAGTGGCCCAAATTCAAATAGTGACCAAAGTCCGAAACAGAACTCAGGAAGTGAGACACTGCAATAGGGAACCCTTGGACCCGTTGCCTTCTGGCTTCCCGAGATTGGGAGAGCTTGGTCACAAAAAGAAAACGGCATCACCTTTTTTTGTCGGTAAGCCATTTCGCTCACGTGCGAAAGTGTGGGAAAGCCGGGAAAGCCTTGATTACCTATCAGAAGCAGGTAAAATTCTCCGCTGGGCCTTTGTCAGGTTAGGGTAACCCCTCAGCGAAGCGCAGCCATGCTCTCCATGCGCGCTGCTCGAATTATCCAAGTACCGAATTTCAGCACATCCCTTGGGCCACATCCGGGATACACAGAAGATCGTTGCTATGAAGATTATATTGTTGACATATATATATATATATACAAATCCCAGCAACATGTTGAGGCTTGTCAACCACTTTGTTTCAACTTATTTTGATAAAGCTCCTTACACATATGGCCCATCATCTGGCAGTGCATGAAGCATCAAAGGAAGGACACACAGGAGCACAAGGACGCTCGCTGCAGCACTCATCTTGTTGCGCAAGATCGTGAACTGAGAACAGCCCCAGTAGAAAACAGGAAAAATGTTCCAAGGGGTTCGCTCTCCTTTGCTCAACTGTGGCCAGTTGCTCACCAGGGTCACATACTCAACAAATGGGATGCAAGAGGGCCTAGTCCGGAACATGGTCTGGATGCCGCACCCCATAAAGACCTGAATGAGCAATCACAAAAGAAGATAAACAGAACTACCAGCTCCCCCCTGCCGCATGGTTTTGTTTGACAGTACTTGGGATTTTGGACATGGGAACAGCAGTTGTTGCGGGGCGGGCAGGGGAGCACAGGCAGAATCCACATTTAGGCCAATCGATGTTCAAGAGGAAATGACACCGGTTTAATCTGCGGCCGGCATCCAATTCATTCGGAGCGTTCGGAGTCCGAGCACCCCGCTGTAGCTCCTACCTGGGCAAGTGAATAAAAGGATTAAGCCGCTGAAGAAAGCAAATGCCAGGCGTCCAACCCAATAATGTTGGCAACCACTACCCCGCAGGAAAATAGGGTATATACCCTTGTATGGTGGCTAGCGGCTGTATGTCTGTATATCCCATAGGACGCCTGAATTGGTGGGCGCAGTGGTTTGGAGTGGAAACAAACCATACCGCTGTCTTGCTGCTGCCTTGCATCATGCACCAAGTTCATGAACTCACCCCAGCTGCTATGGCTAGGACTATCGTTTCACGAGACCCCCATCTTGGACTCTGTTTTAGGTTTCATGTTAATCCTGAAGCTTCTGCACCCCATGACCTGGACCGATTGTCAAGCCAGGAGCACCCCACCAAACCAAACTCCAGCATCTCAAATGAACGCCCAAGGGTCCCCAGAAGTGGTGGTCGCCCTTCTTGTTTCCCGTTGAAACCATCAAAAAGGGGTAACCTAAAAAACAAGACACACCCATATATGGGAAGGGAGGCTATCCCTTATTCGCCCCGCAATAAGCCTCAAGAGCTTATCCTAGGATTCTCCAGGGATATCCCCAATGCCCTTTATTGGGTGGGGGGGTCCATGCGTTGACGTGCAACCACTTAGGAAGGGGCCAACACATGTACATATCTTATCGGGGTCCTAACATATATCCATCCATATAGGTAGATAGATATGTGTACACGTTAGCGCATAAATGTACAACAATACATATATATATATATATATTATGAATACACATATATATATATATAGATAGATATATAAAGATGTATATATATATGTACATGTTTACAAACATATCATGTGAATGGGACCAAGAACCCCTACAATTTCTGACCCAATCGCGGAACTTTTGGTTTGCGAGGCCACGGCTCGTGTGTGAAGATCCGCTGCCCGAACGGCCTCGAAAACCGAAGGCGTGCAACTAAATGGGCGTTGATCAAAAGGTGCGTGATACATGGAATGACCAGTGCAAGAAAAAGAGAAAAAAACAACGGCAAACAGATATGATATTTCAACATGGGAAAATGTGATCCATGTTCAAAACTGGGGGCAGAACAAATATTCATTGATCAAGCACGTGGGTATTCAAGTTCAGGTATGGGATTTGGAGGAATGGTTTGCTTACCACTTCTGCGGAATATATATATATATATATATGTATGGTCACCCCCCCCCAAGATCTACCTCAGGCCTAAAAAGCACTGTAAATACCAGACCACCTAGCTTGGGTGGGTATAGCATCCATATGTCCAAAACCGAAACCTGGAGATGCCCCAGATTGGCGTCAAAATGGGGGGGGGGGGGAGATTCTCAAAATGGTGGTTTCTCTTTTGGTGTCCCCTTTAACCAACCCCAAAAGAGACACCCCACATCCTTACAAGCTACCTAGACCCTCAGGTTGTTTGGGACAGGAAGGTGATTGGCAGAGGCAGCGCAATCGGGGGGCCCTTCTGTTTCACGCTTCCTTCTCAAACTTAACCACCGACACATCAAAAGACAAGATCCAAGGCTGGCTTTTCCCATCTTTTCCCAGATCCGTCGAAAAGCAGCAATGGCTTCGGATGAACCACTCGGGAACCAGAACATAGGTGCCACTGCAGGTCACGAAAAAGCTGCCCCAACGTGATGTCTGATGCGCATAGCAACTGATCGCAACGTTGCCCAAAGGCCGGACTTGTTGTTCGACTACTAAAACGGGGCACACAGAAACTCATATTGTGCTCTTTCTGTTTCGTATGGTGGTCTACTCAGTGCTTCCAGTTACCACTTCCGTACTCCGTAGGTAAACAGGTATGTGTACCTCCAGGTTTTACATGATGGCTTTGCCTGGTCACCTAGTCTAATGGCAACCGCAAACACCCGATATATATAAATATATATGTATATATGGGAGAATTGTTTTGAGGGAACCCCTTTTTGGTTTCTTTTAACGGGACACCAAGATGAAAACCACATTGTCGCCTAACAAAAAGACACCCTGGACCCTCAAAATCCCCTTACAAATGAGTCATTGCCCCAAAGTGATGAGAGATTTTCCCCTTGTCTACGGGTAGTTTGAGGCTCCAGGACCCCCACATCATAGTCTTGCAGAAGACTGCGCTTCCCCCGGGCCGAGTCGCGGCTGCTCTTCTTGCTGGCGCTGCTTTGGCGCCGCGGCTGCTGCTTTGGCGCCGGAGATGCCGCAGGCGCGGCGCTTTCCACCTTGCTCGTCCGCCTCAGCTCGCGCTCGACAAGGCGGGTGGATGGGGATGGACGTGGATGGAATTTGTGTGCTGTGAAGTGGCTTGCTCTGTTGTTCTAGGCTTCTCTCTTCTTGATTTTTATCTTCCCTTTTTTCGCGCCTTGACCGACATGAGTCAGGAACCTGCTTAAAAATGTTTGGAAGCTGAACGAATGAGCTACCTGCTTTTGGTTGTGGCTCCATTGGGGAGACTCTTCACAGCCATCATCATTTCTCAGGGTTGGACCCTGTTTGTCGCTCTGCAACCATCCTTCTTTTCAGTCATCGGCCATTTCCCTCCAAAAAATGAGGGGCCATGTTCCTCCATTTGCTTTTTCGCCCCCTGGAAGAAATGAAAAAAACAACACTTGCAGTAGTGAATCGATTCCCTTCAAACCAAAAAGGGAACATAATATATATATATATATATACATAAACATTTCACACGCAAATGTTTGGTCACGTCGGCTGCTTCGGCCCGTTTGTTTTGTGGCCGAGCCGCCGCGAGCTTTTGGATGCCGAGCCGGATGAGCTGCTGGCGCTGGACGCTCGGCTGCCTGCGTCCGGGTTGCCCTTTGGGGTCCATGACTATCTGGGTCCTCCAGTAGAGGTTAGAATAAGGGTACCGTTTCTTTTTTCGGTGGAGTCTCCTTCTGACCCTTAAAAAAATGGGGTCATGACCCAAAATTAAGGGGTCAACCATGTGTTCAGGGTCATGGAGACTCTAGGCAGAAGTGAAAGGTGATCACCTTTTGGGGTCCATGACTATGGAAAGGGAAAGGCCAAGGTCGATGCGCTTCGGGCATCTGAGGTATCGTAGTCAAGGGAACCAGACTTGAACTAAAGAAAGCAAAACGGCTCGAAGCCAAATTCAGGGTGAGCTCAGATTTGGGTGTGTCTGCTTGGTTTCCTTTTAAAACCCACCCACAAAAGGATACCACAAAGAAGCACGCCCATTTATGGCCACTGCCGTTTTTGGTTGGAGGGTTTTTTCTGGTACCTTACGATGCATTGAGCGATCCTTAGGAGCTACCAAACAACCCTCACAAAAAGGTGTCCACAAAAGGGTAGAAACACCATCAGGTTGATCCGGGTCGACCAAGCAGCAGCTCAGACTCAATCAAACTCCCTATGATAATTTTGTCAGCAACCAAATCAGCCCAGAGAAAATTCCTTAGCAAGAATGTGAAACCTCAATATCCTGGGCCCGTACCTTGCTGGTGCGAAATCGGTAGGGAATGAGAAATGATATGAACCCAGGCTTTGGTCCACCAGTTGGATGGGTTTTATTGGGGTCATGAGCCATTTCTCATTCCCTACCTATTTCGCACAAGAAAGGTACCGATACCCCCCAAAGGCTGTGATTGCTTTCGATTTTGTAAGTGGCCTCCTTTGAGCTAATTTTGGAGCCATTTGAGGGCCATCGGTGGGGCTTGGAAAATCTTGCCACCGCAGTAGAGATGGGAGAAGCTGGGTACTGTGCATGTTGTTGATTCTAGACAAACGCCGTTCCCCCCCCAAACAAAATAACAAACACAAACATATGAAGCAGACTTGGTGTCTGGGCCTTCAGGGCCAACCTTGGCCTTCTGGAGTATCCCAAACATGTTCTATGTTGTTTTGTTCATATTTTGTTTACCCTACGTGTATGTATATATATATACATACATATATATATATATATATATATATTATGGGCCTTTGTTGAGGGTACCCTTTTCGGGGTTGGCAAACAGGATATTCATGCTTGGGGGTCCGAATCCTCAAACATGACACACCCATGTGTTGCGCTATAGCAAATAGACATATCTACATAGTATGGAATGCAGCTATATAACTATAAATTAGTACATCTAACTTGATATATGGCTATAGATCCCGTACCCGCAGTGAACATCCGATTCAATCCCCACTAAAGTAGACGAACATGAAAATGGGTGGTGAATTCACCTGCCAACCAAAATGGGATTGGTTTTGACAACCACGGCCATACCAGAACTCATTGGAGGATCTCCTTTTCCGGTGCCCGGCACCCAGGTCGACCCAGGTGCCCCGGCTGCTTGGCCGACTGCTGCGACTGCTGCGACTCCTTCGTTTTTCCAGCGTCGGGCTGGCAACAAAATGTGGCTTCAGGGAAACTGGAATCAGAAAGGAACCCAAAAGGACCATCTTCTAGGACCTCCAGTAGAGAGGGTAGAATAAGGGTACCGTTTCTTTTTCTGTAGTCTGTTTAAGTAGGGGAACCCTCCTAACCAAAAAGGGGTGAGAAGGGCACTACTGAAGGACCTAGTCTTTTTCTGGGCTCTCTGTTTTCTGATCCCCACCCAAAAGTTGCATGTTTAGTGGGTTAAAAAGGGGAAACTACCACAAGCAACTAATCCCAGCTAAGGGGACGGCTGGGAACTACCAAGTTGCTGGACTTCAAACTGCTTCACTGATTCATTTTTAACAAACGGAACAACCAGCACCCCGCGACTGTGTAGCGGCGAAAGCCAAACTCCAAAAAGCTGATCGACAGCTGCTTCCAGGCGATTTGCCATAGCAGCTTACCGGGGAAAGTCCATTGTAAACCATTCATGGTTACCTGTGGTAACTCTCTGTGGTGCTTCTCAACCCAGAGGATTGGTTTAAACAGGTCTTTGGGCAATACTGACTGTAATAGAGCTAAAACCAAGAAGCAACAAACTGGGATACCGACGGGTTCCCGACTATTGGCGAAACGCCGAAGGAAGGATTATTTGAACCCTCTTTTGCGACCCGGTCCCTTAGTAGTTTCAATACAAGATGAACAAGACCTAGTCCTTCGATTTCCCTTGATAGGTATCACCAAAAAGGGGCTTCCCAGCCTTTAAACACCAGGAACATGCATGGAAAGGTGACCTGTATTGGGATCCAACACAAGAAACAAATGGTACCCCGAACATGAAAGTTCCGCGGAAAGGATCGAGACATAACGACATGAACAGAAAACAAAAGCGAAGGAACCGCTCCACTACAAATTCACATGGACCCCCCAAAAAAAAACAAGAGGAGGAGGTTCCAGGTTGATCTGTAGATGGTGCAAAAGCTTGCCAATGCATTGGCTGAGACGCTTGCTCTGCTTGCTTTGGCGGCTCTGTTGGCTCTGGCGCCGGCTCTGCCAGCTGGGGCGCTGGCCTCAGTGCGCTATCGGGTCGAGATGCCATGGCGACTGACTACCCAAACTAGGTCCTCCAGTAGAGAGGTTAGAATAAGAGTACCAACTTTGTTTGGTAGTCTAGTTTAGTAGGGGAACCCTCCCCCAAAAAAAGGTAAAAGGGCACTGCTGGGGGACCTAGCAAAGGAACCTCCCCGTACCACTTGAATGGTGCTTTAGGGCCTCTCTGCTGCTTTGAGTTGGTGGTTTGACAGGGGATGGTGTCCCATTTACCCTCTGGAAGAACCTGCGGTTCAATCCTCCAAACCACCAATCGAAACGTGTGGAAACAAGGCGTCCCTGTTCAGTGCGAAGAAAAATCCTGTGAAGAAAGAAACGGATCCACTTCGAGCATCCACTTCACAGGGCGGTCAAAAATCTGCCATTCCCCCCCCCCCCCCTCCGCATTTGGGTGCTTTCATGTAGTGGGTACCCGTTTTTTGGTGGTTGTAAAGGGACACCAAGAGGGAAGCCACCCTCTTTGGGCCCCACCCGTTTGTAGGCGCCGCCCTTTTTGTTAAAGGGATTCCACAACAGGCCCCAAATGTTCGACGACAACCCAAAGCTTTTTGGGACCGAGGACCCACAGTTCCGGAACTCATAGGGGGGTATGAATGAGCCAAGGATAAGAAATTGAGGCCTTCATCTGTCAAGGGATAGCCCACTCTCGCCTGTCCGCCTCCCTCTGTCCATGATTCTAGGGGACACTTCCCCATTCTTTCCAGGGATCCTTCTTTTCAGAAAACCATCAAAGACTCAGAGGAAACAGCTGGTTTTTGAAAATGATGATGGTTGAAAATAATGGAAAAGGAATCAACCCCTAGAATGATGTTTCTTTTTGCGGTCTCGAAATCAAGTGTTATTTTTGCTTGCTGAGCGCGCCCGGCTGAAGACCAGACTGCCGCTCCTGGGCCGGCTCTCCTGGCCGACTCAACGCAAGGACCTCTGTCGGTTGTCACTCGGGAAAAATGAGAGATGCTTCCCTGTGCTCTGAAAGGAAACTTGCGGAACCTGAAATTGGTGAGAAGTCCAGACTTTTGGTTAATACTGATCTTCCTTCAAGTCCAATAAACAAATGTGCTCCCGCAATTGGGATTAGATCCCGGGAATCCGTTTTGCCACTGTAGGTGAGCAAACGCATTCTTCCTTGCAGTTTCTAAAGGCTGGGAAGCCCACTGGACTACCTCTGGACGACCAGAAGATAGTCTTAAACCCAGTCGACGGTCAAAAAGTGGAACCAAAAAGTGGAACCTGGTCCCACTAGCAGGCAAAAGTTGTTCTTTGCCTCTTGCCATGGCTGCGTTCCCCTCACCTACTGCTGGGAAGCTTTGGGTTTGAGTCTGGACCACTCCCCCATGGTACCTGTTGGCTCCGTTGCCAGGACCAAGAAACAAGAGGTGATCATCTTTTTAAACCAACCAAACAAGGGAAAGCGAAAAGGGCAAATGCTTGACTTTGGGCAAGTGAGTTGGAGGGTGGAAGATTATTCTCCTCTTGGTATATATGTCACGAGGTGTTTGATTCTGATCCACATTCAGTGAGACTGAACATGCCAAATCCATTCGAACGATGTCCCAGTTCCAATCCATTCCCCGCAAAATGCCGTGTCAAGGCCAAAAAAAAGAAATACTGACCCTGACCCAAAACAATTGCTTCATGAAACGGTCGAGAACCACCCTACAAGCCCTACGAAACGAGGTGCACCCCACCAAAAAGAAGATCACTTCAACAAGCCCCAAAAGTCGTGCTTGGTGGCGTTTTCGATGAACTGCATGCTTCAAGTTGCCCATAGTTTATAGTGCACCCGAAGGGACCCTCAAAAGGCATGCTTGTTGTTTGGTTGGCTTGTCCAACCCTCCGAAACAAGCGCCCAGTGTAAATCAGCTGGCTTTCAATGCATCCCAGACTCCCCGCGATAGGGAAACCAGCGCACACGGCTTTTGCTAGTTGATTCTGAATCACCAAAGCGGCCTGGGCCCCTTCGAAACAAGTTGAAATCAGTGGCTGCAGCCGGGCGGCGGTCTTCTTTCCGGGCTTTTGGGGCTCTTAGACAGGGATCCTTACATTATACACCTGAACATTGCCTTGTAAATGGTGGTGTCCTTTTATTTTGATGTTGAAAAAGCAACATGTCTCAAATGATTGCAAAATGCAGATCTTTTAAGGAGCCCTGTTAGACCCCGCAAAAAACCGGAATCCTCCAAGTCAAAGCACCCTGCATCTTCCTCCGACTTCCCGGCGCGCCTCCGCCTCCTCCTTCGCCGCAGCTTCCGGCGCGCCGCTCTCGCCGGAGGCCGCGGCCGCATCCGCCGGCGCCTGCGGGAAAGCGCTGGGAACCAAAAGTCGGCCCATTCCCAGCGGATCTTAGTTTCCCAAGTGGAATTCCGGTTGTTTGAGCGCCGGGTCAGAAATGGGTACCCAAAAGGGAACCCTGGCAAATGGAACCATGGACTAAACCTTGCGGTCCTCTAGTGGTTTAGTTTTGACTCATACCTATATGGCTGTGGCAACCAAACAACCGGAATTCCAAAATGGGTTGCCCGATCGGTAAGTGGAGACATGGGTACCAAAACCTGTGGGTTGCCCCCCTGTTTAATTTTGAGCCACACCCCTCTACTAGCTAAGGATCTTACCTTGATCTTCCACCCTGGAAAAGCAGGCCTGCCGAATGTCCATTTGGAGCCAAGGTCAAAATCGAGAAGGACCCTGTTTTTGCGGGTCCTTGGAAGACCAAGGCTAGTTTCCCATTTTCTAGTTAAGCAGTCTTGGCTTCCTTTTTCGGGGTGGCAAGGTTCTGGCGACCTAAAACGCCTATAATACAACGGAATCGCTGGGATTGTGTACTGGAACTTGCTGAATTCCGGGTGAGCCCCCAATTTTGTGGAGGGCCTAGACCTCGAAAATACGTCTCGGGCCTGGGATTTTTTTTTTTGTGCCAATCGAAGCTTTAGAGCACTATTTCTTCACACCAGTGCCATAGCTTCGACCTGACGAAGTACAACTTACTGGCCATTTGGCCCCTTTCCAGGCAAGCCGGTCAAAACTCCAGGTCACTATCATGGTTCCGTTCATTAACAGCAATCTTTACATTGGTTCTCCGAACCCCCGAGGTTGACCATCCAAACCACCCAAGGCATCGATCTTTGGACCCTGACCCTGACCCATTGCTCACCGCCGTCCATAGGAACCTCCCCGACTCGCGAACGAGTCGACATCAGCGCGCCAGCTCTGCCAGTCTCTGCAGCTCCTCCGCGCGCCTCAGCGGAAAAAAAAAAAAACAAATCTGACGCCGACGGTCTCAACTGCGCCAAACGACAAATTGGGCCGTGGCTCAAAATCCAAATCCTACCCCCAGTGAACATCCGATTCAATCCCCACTAAAATAGAAAATGGGTGGTGCACCGAGCCCAAAATGGTACCGCTGGTTTTGACCCACAGGCATTTGGCTGTGGCTCAAAAAAACCGGTGCCAAAATCAACCCAAAGTGGGTTCCATGGACCAAAACCTGCGGTTTGCCCCTCCGATCGTTTAATTTTCAGCCAAACCCATTTGACAATCACTGCAAGAGGGATGCTTACAATATACACCTGAACATTGCCTTGTCAAGGGTGGTTTCCCCTTATTTTGGTGGAAGAAGCCATGCTTCAAATGGGCAATACAGAACATGTTTCCAACAAAGAGGTTTCTCTTCCCTTGGTTGCTGTTGACCCCGCTGCAAAAAGCTTAACTTTTCGGGGGTTTAGTGGAAGACCCAACTTGATTTCCCCAAAAGTTAAAGTCTAAAGATCCAACCCAATAATAGTCAAGTTCCAATATACGTCGAGTTCCTCCGGGTGCCCCAAGAGCTCTTGAAAACAGCCAGCTCCTTTGAAGGCGCAGAAGTCATCAGCATGTGGAGAAAACACAACTATTCCCCCCGCAAATTAACATTGAACCCGAAAAGGAGGGCTCTGAAAAGGAGGTTCCTCTGAAAAGGACGGCCTTTTTAAGGCTTTTGTGTATTTCCTCCCCCGTTTTTGTTTTTTCTCCGCTTTTTTTTTGGCTTTATGGCATGTATTTGCCCCCCCTTTCCCAGAAATGCGCACTGGCAGACTTGTCCGAGACCTCGGCTCTTGCGCTCGGGTGGGAGCCAAAGAGCGCAGCAGCTCGTCCGGCGTCTCGTCCTCGCACATGGATGCGGGAGCCATTGCCCAGCGAGTCATCAAAAAAACCAGCAAAAACTCAGCTCAACTCATGGGCAGTTGGGAAAACAGATGGGCGGGGATACCTCGGGAACTGGGGAGGGGCGAGGATTCCTTAAGGAAACCGTGTCTCTTATTCTGACCCGACAAATGTGTCCACATCCCTGCTCCCCCCGTATCCCTGCTACTTTGTCTGAGACAAACATCCAGCTGGCGGTTCCCGGCCATTTTTTCGGGGAGCAAATCTATGGCAACTTTGGTGCAAAGTGGATTTGGTCCTTCCACAGTGCGTCAACAGCCCCAGGCCCCCCCAACAGCTCTCAAATGATTTGTTCAGAGACCTATTCTGATCATGTACGCTTCTGTTTAACGACCCACATCAGCTACAATTTCTTCACCCAGGAAGAAGATTGAGCCAACAGCCCTCACAAAACCAAAAGGTTATGTCAACGCTGGTGGAGAGCCGGGTTTCGCCTTGTCAAAAATAAGAGCTACGAGCAAGTTGATACGACAACAGTCGGGACACTGCCATGTGAGCTGATCTTTGTACCAAGTTCAGCTTGCTAACAGGGTTTGCCTTTTCCTCTGAAATTTCAGTCTACCTTGAAAAGGGATTCTACACTACCAGGGGGGGGGGGCCTCAGCTGCTTATTTATGCCACAAACAGTGGAAAAGGCAAACCATACCATGCTGGTTTGCTGATCTTCGTAGAAGTTCAGCTTCCCAAGTGGTGGTTTGGAGCCCCGTTGGAGCCCGGAAACCACGCTCGACTTCTTTGTCAAATGGCAGCCAATTCCTGACTGACGAATTCCGTCCTTCGCAACTCAGGGAAGGGGAAACTGGAACCATCCAAAGCGCCACCGAGGGATACCTTCCAAATACGGTGTCCTTGTTGGGATAATCATGGACGTAGTAAATGAGCATAGAACTAATCTATAGCCAGTGGAACCTTCATTTCGAACCAAACTGATAAACTAAAAATAATCTAAACCAGTGCCATCTACTTCCAACCAGACGCACAGATCAAAATGACACCTACTGTGGATGGTTGTGAAATCCATTTCGCACCACCGTTCAGAAACCCAACGGTTTCTGATAATACATCCCACAACGTAAATTTACCACCAAACCTTCTGGTTTCTTTCCCATGGTTTCATTACCCGTGGCGCGAGGTCGGAGGTCGATTTCATCCATCCACAAACCTCGTACCGTTAACTCCCCCGCGCATGGAACCCTACAAACCACCCTTGAGAGGAATCTGAGTCACAATCAAAACCGGGTATTAAAGTGGTTGACCCAGAACCATGTAAAGAATTAAGAGGGCGGCCGCAACTATTTCTGGCTGGGATTGTCCCTTACTAACGTTCATCTACCCGTGTTTTGATTGTGGTTCATCTCTTGTTGGGAAAACTTGGGCTCAGCTTGCAACGCTTGCGTCCTTGGCCAAAGACTTCAAAAGCTCGTCGGACGTTGAGGCGATCCGCCTGATCTGCGTCCACGTTGCCCCCCGGAAAACGGGGACAATCGCAGAGGGTCCCTTACCTGAGGATGGCATTTGGGGACTCAGGGGTCGTTCTATACCTTAGGCATTTGGAGCCGGGAGAGGTAAGCCTGAAGCTAGTTGTACCTTGGTACAACAGGTTTTACATGGTGTCCACTTTCCTACCGGAAGCACCGGTTTTGAAGGGCGCTTTGGTGACGTAAAATGGAGGCGGCGAACCGGGTGGAACGAAACGATAAAGCGCTGGGTCGCATGGCTGGCCATAGGTGGAAACTATCAGCAACTGGCCCGTTAGCATTCTTCTATCGAAACTGGGCTCGGCACTCGCAAAGACGGACAGCATATTTCAATACGTATCACAGTGTGTCATGGTGTCGGCCGTCCCAACTCACAAATTCTGGCCCCTGCTTTCATGGTTGCAGTGATTAGTACTGTCGTGGCGATTGAAAACAGCAGTCAGCATTTTGCCAACATTTGGAGCCAACACTGGGTACCTATCAAGTGTGTTTTACTTTCGAGGGTACCCTTGTTGGTTGTTTCAAATGGAAACCGAAAGGAAAACCACCATTTTGGAAGGTTCCCCAAACAAAAACAAACCCATACAAGTCACTGGAATAACTGAGTTAAAGAGGCTCGTAACACGAGTAAAGCCAATAGGGCTGTTGACCACTCTTCTGGCGATCGCCAAAGCCGAAGTGCGGTCTGCGACTCTAGGTGTACTGAGTTCAACTACAGGGCAACAATAACAAGGAAAGTCAATATGTTGCGTTTATCATTACCATGGTCTTCCCACAATGTAAAAATCAGGGACCTTGACCCTCAAAATACGCCTAAAGATGGGTTATTGCCCCAATATCGTGGAGTGAATTCCTTTTTTTTTGGCAGTTTGAGGGTCCAGGGACTCAAATCCGCATGCCCATGATAGTCAAACATCTGAGCGAGCCCGGCACATCCACGTGCGCGCAAGGCTGGAGGTACGCCAGCATATCCTGCCGTCGGCCATCCCCCCCCAGGAGGAAGTTCTTTGATACGCGGGCTCTCTCGTTTACTGTTGAGGGCACTTGTTTTCGTGGTTTTGAAGCGACACCAATAGGACAACCAACATTTTGGGGGTCAACCTTAAAAAAAGAAACACCCTACGACCCACTTGAGGACTTACTATCCTGGTCATCCAAGTGTATTCTTGGCCGATGGAGAAATCTAACGGGTTGTGTCCAGTGGAGGATACACTCGATGGGAATGAATCAACCAGGGGTGTATGAATCATGGGTTTCCAGTACGAAAAAACCTTTAATCAGATTCCATTTTCCAGGTGTGTGTCTGTGTGTGTGTGTGGCGCTTTCACTAGTCAAAGAAAAAACCCTGCAAAAAGGATAGAAGTACGCGAGAAGTTTTTCAAACAGGACATCAACTGCTTTCAGTGCGAAACTTAGCACCACAAACAGCAATTGTTAAATCATAAGAGCGACGGCAACATACATGAGCCAAGAAACAAGCTATGCCCATCGAGCAAACTAACTAAAACACACATAACCTAACACACAGGGAACAACTAATGGTTCATTGACAAACCTGGACCCCCCACTGGACCCCCCTAGTGTGTCCTTCGACCCGCAACACAACACAAAAGCACCGGACAGAAAACAAGGGGTCAACAACAAACCAAGTGATCCATGTTATCTTTATGGAGGATAATCAATTAACACTCCAATTCACAAACTAAGAGTAAGATGGCTAGCTATCTACTATAGGGATTACTGGCATGCAGTGGGAAAGCAATCGGCGGGCACAACTGGGATCCACTGGAACACAAAAGCTGGGCTTCGTATCCCAACCCAGAACCCCTATTGGAAAGCCACTACACAAGCCGGCCCCTTTCGTAGCCTCAGAAAGCCTCCTTACCTCAGGAAAAACAGACAAACCAGAGGAGGATTGTGGTTTGCTTGCCGCAGGAGGATTGAACGGCCCCCAGAAAAACACACAAACTGCAAATCTGCGACCAGCCGATCGATCCTTCCACAAGCCGCGGCGGTCACCCTCAGAAGCGCCTGCGCGGCGGACACTTTGGATCCATAGGGCAAACTACACGAAGCGGCACGGTACTTTGTGAGTTGGTAGTAACCAATGCTTGGTGGCGCGCTTGCTTGCTTGCTTGCCTGTCTGTAGGTCTCTGTCTGCTTGCCTGCCTGCCTGCCTGCCTGCCTGTCTGGCTGGCTGCCTGCCTGCCTGCCTATCTGTTTTGTCTCTCTGTCTGTCTGTCTGTCTGTCTGTCGGTCGGTCGGTCGGTCTGTCTGTCTGTCTGTCTGTCGGTCGGTCGGTCGTTCGGTCGGTCGGTCTGTCTGTCTGTCTCTGTCTGTCTGTCTGTCTGTCCGTCCGCGTGTCGGTGAATCCCCGGTTCCTTCATACTAAGCCCCAATGACACACAGCAGCCATTCGCAGTGGCTCCAGTTACGTGTACCAGTAAGGTAGCCAAAAGAACTCTGAACGAGCTAGAGGGGAAATGGATGGATAGCTACGGTTCCAGTCTTTCAGCTACCATTGTAGTAGGGCTCTGGCTGGTGACTTGCAAGTAGGGTAAGCACGTCATTATAAACCACTTACTTCCAAAGTACCCTGCCCTTTAAGTACTTAGATAGTATGTGGGATGACTGGTCCTATTTCTGTGCTTGGTAACCCCGCTTAGGACTCGCCCCGTAAGTGCGTTCACCTGCGGCCCTGCGGCCGTGGTCTTGCCTTTAGTCAACGGCGACTAGCATGTAGGAGTACAGCCAGCAGTGGTTCATTGGCTCCGAGGCACAAAGCTGGTCTTGTCTTTAGTCAACGGCGACTAGCATGTAGGTAAACGTACTCCTCTCGTACCAACTAACACAGTCAACCAACCCAGTGTGTCCAATTACAAGCCATGGCATTTCTTGTAGTTTCGACTACACGAGGTAACCAGGTAAATTGACTTCTTGGAGTTCCACGATAACTGCCCCTAGCCGCTATAGCTTCTTGCCTGTAGGTGGAGTGGGTCACCCATGACTTTTTTCACCTCCGGGTTTCACCACAGGCTGCCTCTATTTGCTTAAGCCCCCTGGAAACAATAAAAATATGTCCAGTAGTGAAATCGATTCCCTTCAAAACCAACAAGGGACAAATAAAAAACATTCATTTCACCAAATCTGGTTTCTGCTCCCCTGCTAAAAGTTTAACTTTTAGTGGCTTAGTGCACGCTTGTCGAGCAGAATCCTCGCTTGCTCCGGGCCCCGCATAAGCAGGCTCGGACAAGAGCGGCGGGCCGAAGCCCAAGACAAAGGCCTAGAATCGTGCACGGTGCACGATCTTGGCGTATTTCCGAAAACGAATTCTGGCTTGTTTGGCGCTTTCTGCGCCTGCATCGGACGACTGAAAGATAAGGCACTCAGCTGGGAAAAGGGCCCTCAAATCTGCTTCGCAGAGAGGATGCTTCGCCGTATTGTACTGTCGAACAATGTTCACAAGATGGCCCTGCATGGGCAGTTGCGATCTGGTGACAAAACCTCGTTGCCCCCGTCCTGTGCTACCCAAGACGCGCAGGCTACGGACGGGGCCTTTTTTGCAAGGGGGGTGGATCTGCCTACCCATCACAGTTTGCAACTGCCGCAGGCATGCCTCTAGCGCTTGCGTTTGCGAACGGAAAGGTCTCGGTGCACTCTGTAGGGCTGGGTAGTGGAGCGGGTTATGGTACCTAATGTCAGCACCAATGCCCGTGCGCAGAGGAATCCACTGGCCTGTGGTCAAGAGGAAGTCGAATAGCAGCTCGAGATAAGAGACCCCCGGGTCATCGGGGCCAGGCTCGGCATGAGCAGGCCAAATGATAGCCTTCCACCACTTCCACAAGGCAAGACCAAAACCTGAACCCCACAGAAATGCATCAGCTTCGTATGCACCAAGGTCAACTTGGGGTGGTTTCCACACTGCCTCCGGGCAGGTCCACTGTGCAAGTTGCTCATGCGGGCTTGTATGCAGAGTCGGTTGAGGAGTGGAGTCCGGAGCTCTGGCGAGCTGTGCAGCTTTACTGGCTGCATGCATTCTACGGTGAACCTGGACGCAAAATTTACACCATTCATGGAAGAGTTCTTGCGTGCCTATCCTCCAAGCGGCCTGAGCGGTAAGGCTTTCAGCGTACATGCGTATACTGGTTCTCGCAGCAGTTTTTGCACAAGCGTCGGCAAGGCGGTTGGCGAGGACATCGAACACAAGGTCTGCGGGCATGCTGCGGCTAGGCTCTCGGTGGGCTTTCATATGGATAACATTTTGCGCTCCTTCCTGCGCCACATGCCAAAGGCGGCAGAGGAGATCACTATTATCGAGCTTCGAGAGAGTCAAGGTTGAACCAGCATGCTTGACCCGATTCCATGAAGAGACGGCGTATTTGCTATCAGTTCGCACTTCAGCTTGGGCATCTAGTTCAAGGCACAGCACAATCATGAGGAGTTCTGCACGGTTGATGCTCTGTTCTCCATAGACCTCTGTGCACAGGATGCACTGCAAGCTTTGGGGCATATCTCCATTTCTCCAGTAAGCACGCACCTGTTGGGGCTGGTGTCAAGGACAATTGCACCTGCTGCAGCCCGTGCATAAGGATCAGTTGGGAAGAGGCAGCTACCGTCGGTGTAGAACACCCTCCTTGCCGTGGGACAAGGCGCAAGCTCAGGGAGGTCATCCGTGCGAAAGGGCTTCCTAGCTTGCACCAGTTCAGCATGGAACCATGCTTCAGGCGGGGCAGGTATAAAGGGGAAGTGAGTCCATGAGGGGAAAGATTCCTCGACCACATCCAGGGTGTTCTGAAATTCACTTCGGAGGTTGGCAAGTTCTGGACACACCCAGAGTTGGTGGTGGAGCGAGTCTTTACACTTCTGACACATTGGGCACAGGCCCGTTTCTCCTTCCTGCCACTGTGCCTTTTCTACTGCGCTCATGAATGAGCCGCACATGTGCCATGCTAGGGAGCGTCTTTCACCCTCAGGCAACTTTTGCATAACTGAGGTTGTGGCTGCACAGTCAACATGGGGCCGCCTACACCACTCATCGCGGGTATTAAGTTCGAGGAGGACATTTGATCCCCATTCTAGCTGCACCCTGCGCGCGATAGCTGGGAGAGGGTCAAGAGTGAGTGACAAAGGGCTGCTCTCAGCAAATAGCAAGTCGCCGGACCTACTGATGTTGCACCCTATCCTATTGAGGTATGCTTTCATTGCGATGCCTGAATGGCAGGCCGCAATTTCCAGAAAGGTATTGCTGGTACCAGGCGACACACTTTGAAGGAAACGCCTGGCATGCCTGATAGCCTGTTGGATAGCGTACAGTTCCGGGTCACAAGGCTTGTGCGGAAATTTGCAGCAATCCATGCATTGGCATGCTTACGTTTGTTGCACAATGTGGCACTGACCTGCTGGCGAAGTTCGTGGAACCGTTTCCTTCCTACAGCCAGGAGTTCGACCCCACACATGGATGCAGGAAATGCAGAGGTGCGGATAAGTTTTGCACGGGCCTCAAACCCGAGGGGGAGCTTGCCAGCCCTCTGGATGATGCGCGTGCCCTTACTGAGGCGGTCCTTATGCTCGCCTAACCTCATCCTCCTGTCAAAACGGAAAATGGCTCCAAGGTCTTTGGCGTGAGACACAACAGCAATGTCACTGCTCGAGCCGAAGCATGACTCTGAGATATCCTCCCAGGGGCTGTCACTTTCCGAGATACCTATCTGCCACGCCCAGCTCTTGCTCAAATCAATGCGCAAGGCTAGAGAGTTTACAAGCTGGATGGTATGTTGCATGGCCATGTCATGTGGAGCCTCAGGGGGACCGTGCCATCCCCAATTATCTACAAAGGCACTTGGTGTGATGTCTGGGAGAGATATATGGTGGACGAAGGTGTAGGCGATACCCAACATAATACAGATGCTGAAAGCATCCCCTTCGGGGGCTCCTGTTGTACAGGGCAGGGGCACACTAAGGCTGCTTTTAACCTGGAAAAGTCTGCGAACCTTGGCCACGCTTTGCAGCCACGTGTTTACAAGCTCAATTGGGAGGCCCAGTTGGACAAGGATGGCAGTGGCTGGGCAGCGTGGTATCAGGTTGAAGCACTTGGAGAGGTCCATGCAGAACCCTGTGTGCGAAGAGCCAGATTCAAGGGTGCATTCAACAAGGTGCTGGAGTGTGTAGGCGGTGGATTGCGCGTCTCTGCCTGGTAGGCATCCACTCACTGAGGGAGGGAGACGGCTCATCCATTGACCCAGTACCTGCCGCACTGCCACGCGTCCCCAACAGCGATATAGCAATGCCAGGACGGTGATGGGACGTCCATGCGCAGCGTGGCTAGCTTGGGCTCTCTTTGAGATGATGGAAACCCTGGCTTGCATCAAGAAGCTGGGCCATCCATCCATTTGGAAACCCGCAAGGATGGCAGTAAGGTGGGCAACCATGGGACGCGAGAGCATACACAACTCGTCAGCATGGAAGCCATCAACCCCTTGCGAGGTGCTCTTCCGTATGTTTTGGAAGGCAGTCATCCAAAAAATCGACATCAAGAGGGTCATGCGCAGGCAAGTAAGGCAGCAACTGCTCAAACTCTGGCCAATGGCTCAGGTCAAACTGAGATTCGTAGCTGTCTCTACACCAGAACGGTGTCCAATATGCGACGAATGCTTCATGGAGGTCATCAGGTGTGTAGACTGCCTGTTCCTGGGTGACAGTCACATGATCACCTGAAGGGAGGTCCAGGGGTTTGCAACTTTTAACGAAAGCTTTTGCCTCGCTCAAGTCAAGCATTTGCACTTTAAGGCCATTGATTTCAACTTCCGTGTGTGGTTTAAGGCCGTGCGGCTTGGGAAGATCGATCAGGCCTAGCGTAGGGTCATCAGGGCTGACAAAGACTCTCGCCTCCAGGGTGTGTGTGTGCTGGAGTCCTGAGATGGCTGCAAAAGGCGGGTCTCGTACCTTCTGATAGGCTACCGAGGAGTGAAAGTCTTTTAGGTCAAGCTGGGTCGCGAAGGCTGACATGACTTTCTTTCGTTTGCACTCTTGCT